GTTCTAATGCAAAAAATTTAGCTTTCTCAGTGCTCCCTCAGCTGTGAGGTTATGAAGGTGTTTTCAGCCAGAGAACTTGCTCATTCTGTCATGTTGGACTGGCCCAATTGGTAGTGGATGCATGTAGCTTCATTTTTACTTGAGAACTCTTCAAATTTTTTGTTGGTATTTTTCAGTTTGGTGTTTGTCCTTTTTCAGTTTTGTTTTACTCGGATATAGTTCATAAAGTAATGCAGTGTACATAACCAGGCTGTAACCTGTAAACTGAGAAATGCCATCCTAGCAGTACTAGGCAGCCTTTTTTTTTTAAATCTTCACTCACTTTAAACGTTATAATTCTAAAGATGAAAGCCCCTGTCAGAGCCGCTAAGAAAACCTTGTAAATATGTTAAGCATATAAGCATCTATCTACAGCTGTACTACATTATCAGAAGTTTCACTTGATTTCATATCACCATAAATAGTGATCAGTGGTAGTTAGGTTTCAGTCTAGTGAACCAGTGGGCATCTTCTTTTGGGAGCATTTAGCTTGTCACCACTGATAATTCTGAAGGTCTATACCTGATACAGTCCTCTTATTTGAAGCCCTGGTGCATTCATAATGCTGAGCACCAGTAGCTCTGGTAGCAAGGTATTTTATGGGTTTTTGAATTCATGGTAGACACTGTCTCCTTCCCCTCCATAATTAAAGCTGCTGTTTTCTACAGTGGTACATACAGTGACGCAATGTACACGAGTTCATTAGTGCACTTCATTTCTCTTGCCTGTGATTTCCTTCAAGGCCAAAGAATGTAACATGAGCAGGTTTCTAGTTATCCTGCCAAATAGAAGGTCACCTCCTGCCCAAAATATTTTGCAGAAATACTAGATGACTGCTTTAAATGTCAAATTACTGAACGAGATAAAGGGTTATCCTGCATTGTCTTCTGGCTGGGTTTTTCCTTCTGGGTGAAGGATTTAAGAATCATCCAAGCATAAATTGTATGCAAGATTACAAGCCTGCAAGGCAAGTTAAGTCAAGAAAGGCTTCCTTTATGAATCCCACAAAGGGATTAGAGATAGCTGCAAAATTCAGCAGTCTTAAGGACTAAAGTGTCTACATGCATCCCAACTAGGAGAAACAAGAATGATCAAAGGATTTTTCCAATGGGATTTTGAGTGCTGGAAGAGAAAAAAATACAACAGTAGAGTATAGATGTTGGACTTGGCACTTCACAGTGCAGCAAAGTGCTGAAGCATCCTTGGGTGATGACAGATTAGAGTTGCTTTAAAGTTTTGTACCTTTTCCCTCTTTCTTCATCTTAGGGATACTGCTTGATTTCTTACACACCTTGTTTATTTGATGTGACTCTACCATAAGGTCTTCAATGTGAGAATTGTCTTTTACTACAAATACATGCTAAGCACTTGGAGAATTTGGCTAGCAACACTTAGCAGTTTTACAATCTAAAAATGTTCCCTCTTTTTCTGACTTCAAGATACTTAAAATATGGGATAGACATTTTAATGTAAGTTTAATTACATTGCAGTTCAAATCCTGTACATTTTGTGCCAACTGACCTTCATTATATCATCAGAAACACCTTTTTTGTTGTTGTTCTTTCTACTTATTGTGAAAAATATCCATGCATGCACAATATACTACAGTTGGTACCCTGTGTCTCCAGGGAGTAGGAATTGTATTTCTTGTTACATGACAGTCAGAGCTTCAACAGTAATTAAAATTAATATTTTCATTATGGATAAGCCATTTATGGAAATGTGATCTCATTCGGGCATTTGCACGGTAATGCAAGCCAATTAAAACATCCTGGAGGTTGTGGGACTTTGAAACTATTTCTAAAGTCATGTAAGTTCCTTCTTTAAAAACAAAAAAAGTGTGTTTTAGAATCTGTACCAATTAAGATCTCATCGCGGTTAGACACAGTAAAAGCTGATTTTCAATTTTGTTTTGTACTGAAGATGTTACTAGGAATTGCTTTGTAGTTCTGTTTCTGCTTCTATTACCAGTGGTTGCAAACCAAAATAGCATTGCCCAAGAAACCCTATCTTTCTTTTCTTTATTTTTTTTTAAATAGAGACTGTTTGAGTTGGTGTCATGAGTAGGTAAGCAGCCTATGGGATATACTGTCTGGAGACTGTGTTTTTAGTTGATCTGAATGATTGTTTGGTTTTATTTGATTTTAATTCCATTTTTCATCCAGTAATCTAAGAGAGAAGTCTTCTGTCTTCCTGTTTGTTCCATATAAATGGGAAGATATGTGAGTTGAGTGTCTGGAGGATCACCAAGACTGTAAATTTGCCCTGCAGCGGCACTGATGGAAATCATAGCTGAGAGCAGTCTTGTACATTGATCAGAGACCATCTTTCAGATCTCACAAGTGATTTGTGAGGGAAGACGGTAGCAAGTGGAGTAAGCCAAGAATATGCTGGCTGATAACTTATTACACTTTTGTCATTTGATCATGTCAGATCATATGCCCTTTCTCTAGCTAACAGGTTCCCAGATCTCATTTTATACAAAGAGTAGCAGCCAAAACTTAGCGGTCTTTTTGCTGAAATTCCCTGTTGCTTCATAACAATGTTTTGATCATCACTTCTTTACTGTGCTTGATATCTGATTTTTCTATCATTTACCTGTTACAAGTAGGTTATTGGCACTTGTGACAGAAGGGGTTAGGCATATATGTGCTAACTTTTCACATTCAGTTCAGCTCTATAAAGGTAGGCAGTTTTTGTTTTTGGTTTGTTGTGGGTTTTTTTGTTGTTGTTGTTGTTGTTGAGATTTTCAAGAGTAAGAGCTTATAAGAATGCCTAAACTGGTGTGTTCTTTCATGTATTGTAGTATATGGCTTCTAGGTTTTGGTCTTTGGTATTAATAAATAGTATTAATAAACTGTACAAAGTCAAGATGGTACAAGAGAGCAGAAAATCACATGAAGGAAACAAGGTTTTAAAAGTAGGGAAAATCAGGACATGTGAAACAGTGAATAAGATTAGTTGTGGGCCTGGCTGTCCATCTTGGATCTTAGCACAATAAGAAGGGATTTATCAGTGGGAGGTGACAGTTGTCTCTGGGTTTATGAACTGTGCACTGCACCTGTGTTTGACACAGCAGTGTATGGAGAGTACAAATCAGTTTTTCCTTAAACACTGAGTATATTTTTTTAGCCAGCTGCTGAGCTCTTACAACTATTAGAAATATCAATAAAGTTTCAGAATAGTTAACAGCTGAGAACATGAAGCCCAACAGCTGACTGCAGGGCTGGCCAGTAGTTTAGAAATTACCTAGGGCCAAACAAATTTGTTCAGTTTTGAAGTTTTATATTTTGCAGGTATGGACTGAGCAGCAGATGGAAATAACAGTCCTTATGACTTAGATACTTATTAACCAAATTAGATGATTGATGATTTTTGTAACTGATCATTTACTTTCCAACTGTTCTATAGGATTTGCTCTGTGGATGTGAAAAAAGGTGTCACTGTTCCTCATCACTGGCACTTGTCCATGTGCCAGCAAATGCAGCAGATTGCAGAGAAATTTGTATTTCTTAATAGGAACTCTGCAAAGTACAGCATTCTTAATAATCTTTTGTTAGAATTAGATTTCCTTCTCTAACAAGTTCAACTGCTCTATAGCCTGTATCTCTCAGAATACTGACGTAGGTTGTGTAACACTTTTAAGATGAGAAAATCCATTTTGCCCATTTCACAGAAGAGGGAAACTATGAAGAAACTTGGCTCAGAAACTCTTCTTTGTTCTAACGATGAATGCTAAATACCTAAAAAAGAGATTATAGTCTAGGACTACTGTACTTTAGAAGAGTAACATGTCCTTTTCTTTTCTCACTACCTCTAGTATTTATCCACATTACTCAGCTTCTATTTATAAAGGACTAAGAGTCAAGGTGAGATAACATATATAGACAAATGTAAAATTGCCATTACATAATGGTTTTCTTGGATTTTTTTGTAGTAAAACCATCTTCTGTATTTTACAAAATAAAAAAGCAAAAAAACCCAACCAAACCAACCTTGGAGTAAGGTGTGACATCCTGTAGTGAAATACACTTTTTCTGCTAAGAAAAACATTTGTAAAGATTCAGTGCCCTTCAGTGCATAGAAACTTTTTCAGTCTGATTCTCAAAATGCAAAGAAGGTTGTTTACATCCTTCTCCAGAAAAATGGCACGCTCATCCATGGACAGGCTCTTCTGTCTGTACCTGTCAGAGCAAATAGCTGATGCTCAAACTGCTCTCATACAGAGAATTCAAATTCCCCTACAGTTATTAAATGCCTGCTTTCCAGTAATGTTGTTGTTTGGGTTGTTTTTTTTTTTTTCCCCTTCCCTGGTGCAAAATAATTGCAGAGAGGAGTATTCTCCCAAGCAGAGATTCAGTAGGAATGATGGGTGTTCAGTGGCTCTAGCATGCTAAGCAATGCTATATTAGAGTGTTTTCCTTCTCTTAAACTGCATATCAGCATTTTTTTTGTTCTTTATGAAGGCTCTGAGATGCTTCTAGAGATCATCATTACCTAGAGAGAAAATACCGCTTGTTTCACATAATACATGCGTATCTGTGTCATCTAAGTAATAACTTGTATGTGTTTTTTCCTTCCTTCTTTGTTATACTGATAGAAATAAATGGAAGGACTGATTATAGGTCATGCAACGCTTGTGGTTAAAATACAAATGGAGTCTGGCTATCAGTTCCAAGGCCAGAACTAGTCACTGCGTTGTCTTTCCTTTTGCAGTCAGACATAGGAGGTGGCAATAAATAATCAATTGGGCTGTACCTCTGGGGCCTACAGTTGCAGTTTCTCAAGAGGAAGCAACTTGATTGTGCCATCTCCTTTATCCCAATAACACATGGTGCTAAGAAGCTTCTGATGTCTGCTCTAAAAATGGAAGGATCTGTGTCTAAAAGCACATGGGTGGGGAAGGGAGGCAGTAATGGATGAAACAATATTTTTCCTTTCTCTGTCTCTTTTGATTCAAGGTCTTGCTCTGTATAACATATACCTCCACATTTGAGCTGAATGGGAGTTCAGTGTTGAAGATTGCTGAGGTAAGTGTCATACTATTGTTTGTGTTGCTTTATGTTCCCCATTACCTAGAGTGTGTCTTCCATACTTACACTGAAACTGAACTAGTCCAAATCACAATTACTGTCTTAAGGACTGGTATTATCTTATGCCTAGCATGAAGAAATAGTTGCAAGTTGGGCAGGGTTGATGGGCTTGCATGGGAAGGCACTTCTGGAAACTGACTGATAATTATATATTACAGCGTTGCACATTTACTCCTTTACTTTGCCTTTTGGAATAGAAAAATTTCCTTGAGTTCTTTATAAAACATCACTGTGCTGATTTTTTTACCTGGTGCAAGTCTAAAACTAATGAGGTTTCCTCAAGAGGGGTGTATAGGCCATGATGTGCCATGTTAGCATAAGCATCACAATGGGCCTTGTTAGCCTGGTGTGTATCTTTTTACTAATACATCCAAGTAAAAGATTTATTACACCTCTAGATATATGGTGTTGCCCTGGTGCTATTAGTCACTCTTCTGCCTTTATTCCATTAGATTTTAGTTTGAATTAAATTGTAAAGGAGCTTTGACTGTAGAAAAATATACCTGCAGGTCTATTCAGTGAACCTTTGTAGATGGGTGATATTTTTAGTACAGTGTGTAGCAAGCCATGGGGCTGTTTGTTCAGGTTAGAGAAGATGCACAGGAACACTTAATCCTCCTGCACAGCACACACTGTTGTGTGCAGAACACATTCTAAAATTATATTGTTAACGTGGTATGGGGAGAGCTAGTGTCCATGGAGCAATTTAAAGGTTATATAGGTATCCTACACTCCAAATGTATGTAGACATTTAGACATGTGTTACTTCTCAGGTTTTGGTATTTTGAGTGGGTTTTGGTTTTTTTTTTTTGTAAAAAATAAAAATCCCATTTGAAAACAGCTCACTTACCTGGAAGTTACAGTATTCTCTAAGTTTAGGAATAAAATTGACCTTGCATTGTCCTGTTGCAAGCTGACAATGGGATTGTAGGGATAACAGGGAACCAATAAAATAGCTGCCAGTTTGTAATAAATGGGCTTTAAAAGGCAGGGATATAACATAAAGAGTTTGTGTGTATAACATATACAGGATAAAAAAAAAAGCAGTAATCATTCCAGATGTCCTTCACAGCTTAGACTTCAGTTTCTCTTCTGCTATGTGAGACTATAAGATATGGCACCCACCTGTAGGTGCTGCAGCAAGGATGAACTGAACTAGTATTCTGAGGAAGCCACAACTTCTTAAGTTTTGCTAAACTGTCTTTTATGTCAGTATCCCAAACTGAAGAAAATACAGATAGTTTCCCCTGCTGCAGTTTTTCTCAGCAGACTTTCTAACATGCCAGGCAAAATCTGATGAATTCAGCTTAGTGCATCTCTTTGCTATAGGTGAAGAGCTCTAGTTTAGACAAAATACTTGCTGGGAAAAGTATTTAATAGCTTGAAACCCTTCACATTTCAATCTTTAATAGCACTGTCTAAGACTGGGGGAAAATCGTCAGTCAGCCATGCTCTGTGTGCTCTAAGCTGTATCAGAAATAATATTTTTTGTTATCTCTGTAAATTTGGATAACATCAGGGCTGTTACTCATTTAAAGCATCTTGAAAAATGGCAGCTTTCTTTCACAGGTTGGAGTTAAACTCTGCTGTTCTTCATTTTCATTCCCAAAAGACTAGTCTGGCTCTTAAAACCCTTTTCCAGTATAGTGGTACAAATTGGCACAATGATAGTTTGTCCTTTTTCTGTTAAAGTGAACAGCAGCTCTGATGCAGGCTGATGTGCCAGCAAAGCAAACAAAACAAAAAAAAATTTCCTTCAGGGAGTTGGAACAAGCCGTAATACAGAGCATGCGTGTTTCTATTTGGAGTGTTTAGAGGAACAGCTATTTCCCCCACACTCCTTGAGCAAATATTGCCTCAGTGAATGCCTAGGTCTTTCTAATTAGCAAGTCCCACCAACCACATACATACTTCCTCAAGTTCCTCCTGACCAGGTTTTAGGTGAGGCAGAGTTTAACAGTTGAAATCAGTATCTGAATTCTATGATGCATAAGCAGTAGGAAACATAAAATTACTTCCGAGTTCAGCATTTGCTTAGCCTCAGCATTTATTGTTCTGAATTGCTCAAAGGCAAAGGTGGCAGAGAGGAGCTTTCTATTCCAGTGCCCCTGCTGTTTAACGTTTCTTTCCAAGTCAGTCTCTTAGTTTTCCTAGCCTGCCCTCTGTAGCAAAGTGGAGCCACTGCAGAACTGGAAAGGTGCTACCTCCATTACTAGTAGAACTCTCTAAGGACCCTCTCTGACAAATAAAGCTACAGTCTGGCCGTTTTCCACTTCCTGATTGTTCTCAATTCATGTGTACAAAATAATGGCACCCCAAATCTTTCTGAATATTATCAGCTTCAAATTAAGGAAGCATGCAGCATGAAGAGTACTATATTTTGTAGCTTAAGTATTAATAGTATTGAAAACAATCTAAATCTTGCTCTGTGCACCTTCCCATGCTTGCCTAGACCCCTGCAAGAAAATTTAGTTCATGCTGTTGCTTGTTTTTATGTGTGTATTTGTTACTCTCATCTATGTTTGGAGGTTTGTTTTGTTTGACCCTGTTGTGTTTCATTGGCTAACCCTTCTGTGTTTTGCTCTTAGTTGTATTTTGCATGCCATAGAGCTGGAAGTCCCCGATTGCATGAAATGATCCAAATGTCTGTTGCACACCTCCTTGGGACCCTGAGCTCTCGCATTTTTACTGGTGCTTCTTCATCAATGGCTTTTCAAAAGGTACCCTGCCCAGCTATTTTAGAACACAGGCCGTTCATAAGTTCAGAGCTCAAGTGAACAGTACTGTTGCTCATTAGCTGGCATGGGGAGGGGAGAGGAGGAGATATCAACCATGCTCTTTCCAGAAAGTCAGCCTACCTCTAAGAATGGTATTTCATCAATTAATTCAGGTACTCTAGAAAAGGACTTACACCTCAAGAGAATGATCTCAGCAGCACTAGAATGGTTTGGCCTCTGCAAAGGACTGTACATGGCTAACAGGCTTTAGGGTTTTTTGACCACTAGAATTCAGGTGATAGATGAATGATGAGCAGAGTTGGTTGAGGCCTTCTTTTAACTTACAAGACCATCTTCACGGACTGATTGATCTCAATCTAAATAAAATCCTTTAGTTATTTGGGGGGATCTTGGAATCTTGAAAAAGGGCAACAAGAATGAGATGTGATGTCAGTTCGGTCCCTTATATCCTGCAAATGTGTACAACACTAACTTGTTCTAGTGTATTGTCAGATGAGGTAATCAGTCTCAATTTGTCATTTGCATAGGGTTTCTAGCATGATATAACAAGTGATATATATATATATATATACACTTGAAAAGCTCAGGAATGCCCTCTCACAGTGTAGTTGGGAAATAAGGGAAAATATGTCAAGAGCCATAATTAAGTAGCTTCCGTATGTGATGTCTTAGATCACTCACTTAAGATACAGTTTGTATCCAAGAAATTCAGTCATGTTTTCTTGTGCTTGTGGCTTTATTGAAATGCTGAGATGTGAGGTTGCCCAAACTGAGAACATCAGAAGGGTTTTAAGAACATACCTATATGGTTTTCCACTGCAGAAGTGTGCCAGCAACTGCTCATCTTAAACTTTCTAGCCTCGAGCCCACAGCCTTTCTTTCTTAGTCAATGGAATAGCTTGGTTTCATTTCAGTAGGAGTTAGAAACAATCAAGAGTCTTATCCACGTGCCCATGTCAATACTGATTAACCTGTGTAATCAGATCACTTTAATTTTTCCCTCATAGAACTCACCCTATAAAAATGACTTTACATCATATGATATCATTCTAATTCAAAAACATACAGCAGATGTGTTTATGTATACTCTTCATGCATATCATCCTATATATTTATATTAAAAAAAAAAATTTCAGAGCTAGTTTGCTCTACATTCATGATTCTTCTCACTAGCTATAAACCTGAGTGGTGGCAGACTAAAAACACGAAGACTAAAAAATATGTGCACAGTCATTTACAGTCATTTATCTTGGGGTTTTGTTGTTGTTGTTTGGTGGTTGGTTTTTGGTTTTTTTTACTGTCATTGTTACAATGATAAAGCTCAGTGTAGGCCAAAGGACCAAAACTGCTTCTTTGGATCACAGTCCTAGAAGATTGTATTGTACAGTTTTGTCACAAACCCACTCAGCTCCATCAAGACTGTTACCTACTTATTAGTTACCATGCAGTAGTTACAGTGGTTACTACAGTTACACCAGCTCTTACAGAGATCAACACCTCCCACAGAAAATCTGATCAAGGATAGAAACTACATTTTGCAGTGTGCGTCCCCACTATCCTAGCTGCATTATTCTTTGGAAGCTATCCGTAGAGCATCATCTGGGGCAAAAGTCAAGCACAGCTCTGGTCACAGCAGTGTCAAAAAAATGCCAGCAGCTGAGCATGAAGCTTGGAACTGGATGATCCATCAGGGTTCTTCTGTTGCTACTTTGGTTCCCATGGGATCTCTGAGCTGAGGAGCCCTCAGCTTGATTGCCAGTTATTAAAAGGCAGTCATTTGTGTTATTTACAGTAAAGCACTATTGTATTTTCTCTATTAGGAAAGGCCTTCAAAGGCTTTCAGATGTGCTGCAGTATGTAATAATAAATTATAGAAAAAGCGGCAAATACCTATACAACAGAAGCAACAACCTTAACAAATTAAAGGGTATTTACATTGTAGATACAGACTTGCAGAGTGATAGTTACAGTGTCTAGACATGACCAATCAAAGCAGCATTTAGTGAATTACCTACAAAGCAAGGCAAGTGCCAACATCACATGGATTTGACAGAAGGAGACTTTGCCATTTTTGCTCTACCATTCCTGCAGCTGTGAGACTGATGAATTGCATGATGCTTCTAGATGCTACTTACTCAGTTTTCCATATTGCTGAAAACTTCTCATGTGCTAATAAAGCAATATGAAATAGTAGGGAAGGCTGACTATCTGCATGCGAGAGACCTTGGTACCCTCCTAAAATGTGTTCCTGGTAAGTTACAGTTCATATCTATGTATTGCTGTCTTGTTTCCTCATCAGGTTTGCATTGAGACATATGTATCTAGCTGTCACCAGCGGAGCATTAACACCGCTGTGCGGGCAACCCTCAGCCAAATGTTGAGTGACTTGACTTTACAGTTACGACAAAAGCAAGAAAACATGGTGAGCCTTCTGGCGTCAACAAATGGTTCCATGTCCATGGCTGCGTACCTTTTTGTTGCTCTGAATGCAGTGTATTGTACTGGCTTGTTGTGCCTTATGGCTTTTATTTGACACTTCCACAATTTTGTTTAAAAGTTTTTTTGGGCTCTGACTCTGAGCCTGCCTCGGAGCAGTCTATTGGAAACGCAGCTCTCATTGTCAGCTCTACTTGGCTGATTTTTTTTTTTTTTTCTCCTTCCATTAAACAAAAGAGGCTTTGTTCTGATGTCAGGCTGCCTTGGCCTTTTCCATTCTTTATTTTGTTTGCTTGTTTTTCTAAGGTTCACTGAAATCCTTTTGCTAAAAGTTTTTGCATGACAAATATTTACATAAACAAAACAAATTCTTAACTAAGGAAAGTGTCATTCATTTTTTTTTTCTTTGACTGTTTTATAGAAGATAATTTAAGCTCATTAAATTCTTTGCTTAGTTGTTAGCAAAAAAAAAAAAATAATTCTATTTACTGCATTATTAAAATTCACGAGAGCTGTTTGAATGAAATCCCAGCACATTGTCAACAAAACTGTAAATGTTCTGGGCACATATGAAATTACATTGGCTTCTTACCTTTGTTTATGCTGCTTTGCATATTATCACATTATCAAAAAAGCACTATTTGTATAACTAAGTTTCTATTTATTAGGAAACTTTAAGGACTGTAGTTGCACCGATTATTTTCTTTATATCTGTTTTGGGTTAAGATGATCACTTCTATTTTGGATTAGTAGACTAGATTACTTTTATCCTAATGAGCAACTGCAGAACAGAATTGATCGGTTTATTTAAACTTATCTTCTGTTTGTGCTAAGTAGGTTCATTTTGCTAATCAAAACATTCACAAAAAATCCAAACCAAACCAACAAAACAAAAAAACACCAAAAAACCCCCAGTAGTTTTGAAATTTCAGTTTGGGTATGAAAGCTGAATTTGGTTAGTTCTGTTCTTAGCTGAGGAGTAGGTGAAAGCATATGAGAGCTGCATATAGTTCCTAGCAGTTTGTTGTTGATGCTTGAGAGAAGAATTTGGTTTGACCCCTTTTTGCACTGATAGGAAAAATCCTATACAGCAGCTGAGCCAAATGATGTAAGAGGTCATTTCCATTTCCTGACTGCCATTAATTGTGTTGGCACTGTAACATTAACAATGGTAATGTGATAAACTCTCTAATACTCAATTGATTTTGGTTTCTAAGTACTTTGTGAAATCTGGACTATGCTTTCCTCTCAATTATTTTCAATTACTTACACACCTAGTTATTACTGACTTGTTTTAAGGTTAGGATGTTCCTTAAGGACTTAGAGATCCTAATTCAGCTCAATGAGATGTGAATTCCTTAAATCTAAACAACTGTTTAAACAGATCTTAAGGAATTTTTGAAAATGTTTTGCAAAAACTTCATTTAAACCTAATATACAAAACCCCAAACAGATAGACAGAGTTGTTAAGAAAGCTCTGCTTTTCAAGTATTGCTTCTACAGGTTTTTTCCCTACCCTTTGCACCAATTACACCACCTTTGTCTTTCCTCAACAGACAATTGAAAACCATGACGCTTTGCAGAAATTCAAGAATCAAGGTATTTGTAACATTTTTTAGTGGCTCCTTCCAATCCAGCTTTTTCACTCTTCACTGTCCTTTCACCAGCACAGTACTGTTTGATGTCACAGGAATTGCATCTTCAGGATTTCTTACCTTCTCCATAGCTAGATGTTCTCAGTATGCCAGTGCTCTGGAGAAAGTTTTACTAAGTGGCTTTACTTCCTAAATTGAAACAGATTCACGAAGTAGGACATAAAATCTGTAAATGGTTGTGTTATTGTATTTCAGCCCAGAGACACAGTTTATAAAATGTCAGCTTTTGAAAGTGCATCACTAGGAAAGGTCTGTTCACACTTGCCAAATTATTATTTTACAAGATAATTTTTTTCCTACTCCCGTTCTGGCTTAACTTCCAACACCTTGTCTGACAGGTTTAAAAATAATCCCTGCTTTTGACCTTCTTACCGGATGCCTGCAGGAGAACTTGTGTGGATGGAGGCTAAAATCTTTGAACTACACAAGCATCCTCTTCTAAGATCAGAACCTGATCAGACATCAGAAGCTGTGTAGCAGAGACAAACTGCAGGGAGAGATACAGAAATTTTAGCTGCCATGTAGAAGTACTGGAGCCAGTAATTTTGTATTATTTATTTGTATACTTATTTTATTATCTGAATTGAATTTCAGCTAACCTTCTGTAAATGCATGTAAGCAATCAATGCTCTCTCCAGATTTAATAATACTGCTTTTTCATTGTATGGAGATCACTTTCCAGTCTAGGACTTTTCCTTCTGCATCTTCTCTATGCATTTTGGCAGCCCTGCTTATTGTTTAAAAGCTCTGACCAGCTCTGAAAGTGAATTGAGGTTGCAATCCAGCTGCACATATGTAATGCCTCTGATCTTTGTCCTTTTTGGAGGTACTTCAGCTGAGTCTCTTTGTGATGATGTTGTATCTGTCCTCACTGTGCTCTGTGAGAAGCTCCAGGCTGTCATAAAGTGAGTTATTTCAGTTTATAATTTGAATTTATTACCTGGAGATTGAGAGTTTCACTGATACATGTGCTTGTACCATTGTAGTCCTGGAATTATGGAGCAAAACTGTGCTTCAGTGAAGTGTTTATTAGAGGAAGTATTGTTCATGATGCACTGATTCAATCCTCACTTGAGATGAGAAGCTAATTTGCCTTCTTTGTGCACTGTTTAGCTTTAAAGAGCTTCCAGTAAATCTAATCTATAAGTAACTTCCATAAAGCAGCAAAATTCTTGTCAAAGGAGATTTCTTTTCTGGCTTGAAAGCAACCATTGTAGAAAGAACAACAATTACAGGAGACATGGAAAAACCAAAGAGAAGCAACATGCAGAATAAAGTAATATGTCCTCCTTAGAAAGGCAGCATTTATCCAAATGAGATAATTTGTGTTACTAAAGCATTCCTTAAATTTAGGAATATTAAATGTTACCTACTTCGAAATGCATGAGCTTAACTTTTAAAATGTAGTAGTTATGGGCAGCAGTAGGGTGTTACACTGCATTAAAATACTAGAGTCTTTTGGCCACTACTGTAAGAATAAATACTTACTCATGAGTTAAAAAATACTTCCTGTGACATTCTAGCATGGCTCGACTAATGGTCTATTAAGAAATGAGCCAAAAAAAGCCTTAAGTGTTAAAGAGATGACCAACCAAAAGCAATGCGAACATTCTACAGTTATTTAGAAAATAGAAATATAGTAAGCTAGAAATAATTTCAAAGTTTTAAGGGAAAAACAGGTTCTCACTTGACAACATTGTTTCTGTATCAGTAAAATAAGATTTAACTTGCTACTACTGCCAGTTGCATATGGCCTGAGTGATAGCAAAAAAGCCAGTCATCAGCTATTTTAAATGTAGCATAACATTGTCTCTTTGGTTGGCCTGTGTGTCTCTGGAAATAGCCTGTGGTGAACTTGGGGGAAATGGGAGAGAAACCAAAGAAACATCCATCAGTATATGCTCTACCATTTTTGGGAAACCTATGCTTAGGAACTACTGGAGCTGAAGACAGCACGGACATCTTCATGTGCAGTTCTTCTATAGACTCCCTCCCATGAGTGTCTCTAATTACAGCAAGATTTGAAAGGGAAGAGTGCCTTTCTTAGCATTATTTAATCAGTGTCAGCATTTGGGAAAACAAAAGCATGTTTCTGATTCTTCTAAATAAACTCTTTTTTTTTTTTTTATTTGTGTACATAGTTACAGGACAGTAAGAAGAGATCTTCAAAAGTGTGTATCTAACAATAGCAAGTGGCAACACCAGCTGAAAGATTCTTTGTATCAGATTTTGCCCACATGTGAAGCTGTAAACAGCTGTCATTTGATAAGTATTGTCCACCAAATGATAATCAGTTTTAATTACTGGTTATGAAATATGGAAACTGAACTACGTCACAGGATCCTTCAAAATCACTGAAAGTCTTTTTCTTTTAAAAAATCTGCAATCCCAGCTCCCAATAAAATTGTACTGAATTAGAACAGATTGAGGCTTGCTGTAGATAATGTACAATAAGAAATTCAGAGGGCTTAAAAATACTTACTGAACCATGGTTTACTTCATGCTTGTAATTGTGTACGTAGACTGTTAGAATCTGTACTTATGAGCAAAGCATAATGAGGTATTCTGATTGAATCTGAGGAAAATAAATTTAATTAGCATGGCTTGTTAAAGAACTAACTCCATGAATGAAAAGCTGTTATTTCTAATTTTTGTGTCTCCTTCAAAACACTTCATTGGCAGCAACTTAACTTTCTAACCTCCAGGTCAGTGAAATGAGGTTTAGTATGCTGTACTGCCTGTTGTAATTTCTTAGTCTGAAGATTACTTTAATTCCTCCTTCTAAATTTCAAGCTTTTTAGAATTTGGTTTTGAGGAGCTCCTTTTGGGGTTTTGAGGAGCTCCTTTCATAAGGCAGATCTCAGCCTTGCTTGTCTTCTGAATTCCGCAGCTAATTCTGAGAGTAGGTACAAGCACACTGCACCAATTCCAGATGTCCACAGATCTTGCATGTTCTTTCTCATGAAGCTCACTTTGTGTTTATGGTTTTGACAGAGTAACTGGCAAGGCCCTGAAAGGTAACCATGCCATGATGTGACTTTCTGCCTGTAGACATTGACTTTGGACCATTGTAGCTGTCACCAAGAAAAGAGAAAAAATAACCAGAAGAGAGCAGCCTAAATGCCCTTCAGATAGCCTGAAGAAACTATCCAATAGACAAAAATCTTCTGGTTGTCTCCTTTTCCTCTGTTTAAGGGTTCCTTCCTCCTCAAGGTTTTGGATTGAATTTGAATAATTATTTCTGTTTTCTTCTTCCTATTTTTTCACATAGTTTTTGTTTGATTTTTTTTAGGTAGCAGATCACTGCATGTGATCAGTACAAAATAAATGGGATGATAAATGTGATCATACCATTGTAAATCCATGGGAAGTAGCAGAATAAATCACTGCTGTAAATTGTGGTATAATTTTCAAGTGGACTAATGTAGTTATTTTAAAAAACTAAATAATCTTTGGTTTAATGTGATGTGAACGGCATCTTTTCTCTTTGCCAGTGACAATCGGCAACTTCAGCTTCTTTACTTGGAGTGCATCCTCTCCATGTTAAACAGCCTCTCTCCCAGCATGCACCAGCACAAAGGATTCACTGATCTAATATGGTGAGTACATCTGAAGACTAGTGCAAATATTTCATTTGTAAGTATAAAAGGACCTTCTTCTCCCCCAACCATGCAAACAAACCTGTAATAAATCTCCAGATGTGAGCAGAGCTTGCTGTTAACCTGCTATCAGTTCATTTTGTGCTTCATATAAGGTTGGTAGGACCACATGCTCAGCTAGCACATTAATTCCCTGCAGTGAATTATCACTGTAATGAAGTGTATTTAGCCAGAACAGAAAATCTCTTATGCTTTCTGCAATAGTTTGGATTTGTGTGCAGCATTAAACACACAAATATCCTGCTTACAGTAGGAGGGTGCTTTAGAGACTCTGGCTGGTCTGTTGCAGCAATACAGGTAGATAAGCAAAATTAATGTCAGATGGTGTGCTGGTGACCAGAAATGCTTATGACCTGCATTGTATAAGGGTTGAGGCTAAATGGTCTTCATGGTGCTTCTACTTTATCAGGAAACCCTCTTTTTAATACATTTCACCTGAAAAGCTTGATGTCTTCAGTTTTCATATCTACCTCTAAATTGTTTGATACCATCACCTCAGAGCACCTGAAATAATCCTTTTCCCTCTTTGCAGTAGTGTGTTTTTTGTAACATATAGATAATTGAGTCATAGTAATAAAGCAACAATGTACCTAATACGCAGTTCCTTGTAGTCTATGCCCATCCTGTGACCTTGGTGGATGATTGTGTTAAGAAAACATATACATGACTCTTAATGGCAAATGTGTTTCTTATGCTTTTACCTGGTAATTTTTGAAATGAAAGTGTTTGACTTGGGTCCAGTTCTAAGGATACAACATGTAGAGGCACCCATAACTTTCCTCACTCTCCCAGTAAAATCAGTGGCTGCTGGACTGGGAGGTCTTCAGGTTGATAACACTTGGCAGTGTTCACAGGGACCCTGTGCTGCAACCTCTGGGAGTTCTAATGTAAGAGCAGAATCCTCTCTTTCACGGCAAATCCTTTTCAGAAGTTTCTGCCCTTGAATTTCACCAACCCTTTGTTAATGCGTATGTGAGTGACTGTGGGGCCATCCTGTAAGCAAGGTCACTGAAATGATCTTGGTTAAAAGAAAACACTTTTTGTTTTATTTTAAATTTACATAATTTTGACGATCCACTTTATGCTGCAAATCTACAGGTGTTTGTATTTGTAACTGTGTATCATGAAGGCAAGCCTTCAGGGGCAGGACTTCTTAACCTGTGTTGCTGCCAAGGAATATGCATCCTCCAACCACATGCCTAAGATGAAGTGGAAAAAAAAAACCCAAACCACGGGGAAGACATAAACCAGATTAAACTGCAAACATCATTTTGAGTATATATTGCAGTATAAGTACACACTGATCTATGAACTGTGTAGCAAAGTTGTGAACAAAACTAATAGCTGTCTTTGTTCTTTAAGGAGCTGTTGCCTACGTGCACACAACTTTCTCTCTGGCTGGCACTTTGTAGTCAGTTCTTAACAAACGATAAACAAGGGACAGAGATTTAGCTCTGTTCTTCTTAACAGTGTTTTCTATAGTTTGATACAGAAGCACTTTGATGGGACTAAGATATGTGGGGAATATGTTGCTGTTGCAACCTGTGATTATGCCTGCTTCGAGGCAGGCTTATTTCTTAAGCAGTGAATTGATATGTTTTGAAGTGTACCTGATTGGAGAAAGAAATGGAATATGCAGGCTCAAAGTCACTATCTGATGTCTGATTAAAAGCTGGTTTTCTTTCTGTGACTTCAGGAAGCTGAACTGTTTTAGCAAGCATGTTAAGAGAAGCAGTGAAAGTTCTGGATCTTGAGAAAACAAGATGTACTTACCTATGAGGATGTGTTACTTTTTTTTGCTGAATCACTACTTGTCATTGTGTGCTTGCTGTAGTCACCAGCTTGAACCTCTGAGACATGTGGGTGAAAATCAGGTTTGGGACAGCATTCTCGTGGCTTTTTAAATTAGGGTCTTGCAGACTGAAGTAAAATGTCAAGTGCATGAGTGCAAAGCTGAAATAACAGCTAATGAAGCAAAGTGCTCTGTTGATTTTGGCTCTGGTTCCACAGAAAAGTGATCTGCTAGTGTGGAATCACTTAACTCGTGTTCATGCAGAAAGACTGTTGAAGGGGACAGTGTTTTTAGTGTGTAGTGGCATATGAAAAGTTACAGTGCACACTTTGAGTTACTGTAGAGGGTTTTAATTATGTTCTGAAAAGCAGCAAAACAGAAGCTCACAACTAAGGGTGCTTACTAAAATATATGCATATGCAGCTCGGTGATGGCCTTGTAGTTAACATAGATTCTTTTTTGTTTGGTCAGGCTTTTTTAATTTGGACTGAAGAAGAAACACTTAGCAGTAGAAACCTAGAATTTCTACCTTGCAATAGGTTGCACCAATGAAAGAGGAGGCATGCTAACCTGTAAAGGGCAGCATTGTGCAGCAACATGAACTTGCAAAATCAGTACCATGTTTATAAAGCTCCCAAAAGTATTTCCATATGTACTAACATGCTGATGCTTGGGAGATGAAAAAAAACTGGCATTATTTGTTATTCTATCTAATCACTGCTGTTGACTGATCATTAAAACAAGAGTGTGTATCTCATTTAACCATGGGCTATTTTCAATCTGTTCCTGTGAGATTTTTTTTTTCCAGTTACCATCTGCTGCTTTTCTTTTTCTCAGGAAGCAACTGTGTCCAGCCCTAGTAGTAATCCTGGGAAATCCAATCCATGACAAAACTATCACCTCTGCCCACAGCAGCATCTGCCTTGAGGCTGATTCACCTTCCCCTGGGATCTCTGATCATGGCCGGGGTTCGGGTTGTTCCTCCACAGCACCTGCCCTTAGTGGGCCTGTTGCACGGACCATATATTATATTGCAGCAGAACTGGTTCGACTGGTGGGGTCAGTGGAATCCATGAAGCCTGTGCTGCAGTCTCTCTATCACCGGATATTGCTTTACCCACCACCTCAGCACCGAGTAGAAGCCATCAAAATTATGAAAGAGGTAGGATAATCACATGTGCAAATCCAGGCATATAAAGCAAAATGTTTATTTAACAGTAAGTGTTGCTGATATGTGCATACCAGTCCATTCATTTTCTTAGCACTAGGGATGCTGAAATTGCCCTTTCTGAGCACAGCTATTACATCAAAGCCACTCTGACATATTTTTAGTTTTACAAAGTCGTAATAGCTATATTTATCTCCATAACGCAAACTGCTATGGCAACTCCATTAGTGTTCATGCTGTGGTACCGCATGGAACAGATCTTATCACTGAGTCATGACTGCTCTTTTGGGTGAGATACAGTATAATGATCCAGTTCCCAACTTCTTTGGCATCTTTCTCCACTCTCTGCTCTTGCTAGAAGGAGACATTCATCCTCACAGTGTAGCATTCCAGGCATTAAGGTGAATATTGGCTTTGATTACATGCCAGGTTTTTTAAATACAGTTTCCTTGAGCTTTGTTAGAATAGCCATAAGGAAGCTGCTAATGTCTTAAGTGGCCATGTCAAAACCAGTCAGTCCATTCTGGCCTCTTGCCCAGTGCCTCTGTCAGCACTAGGACTGGAGCACTGGGAGATAACTTTGAGCAGCAGCTGAAACCATGGGCTCTTCCATTTCACGTATGTGGCTTTCTTCTCATGTTGTGGAACACAAAGCAACTTATGTAATTAGTAGGAACAGTGGTCTTTCAGAGGATTTTTTTTCTAGCTTGTGCATACCTAGGCTGTTCTGTGTCTGAAGATGACTCCTAACACCGCATAGCCACCCACTGGGTGGTTGTCTGAACTGGTGGTCATGCTGGCACTTGTCTTCCTCTAATTTTAAACAATAGAAATATGACAACTGAAATTTTAGGAAAAGCTTAGTCTAATTTTGTTTCCTGCAGGGAGTATCTTCTGCCTCTTTCTGCTTATTAATATGGGCTTGTTTGTAAAGCCTTCTCCTTGTATTACCTGGTGGGCATTAACAGGACCTCACCCTGCAGGTTGAATCAGAAGGAATCACTTTGCCTATCCTTGCATGACTCCATCATTTTGTAACTGGATGACTGAAGTGAAAGACTCTCTTTGGTATATAATGTAATGCAAGATACTTGCTCCATATTTAGACATAAAGACTGTCTTGTGTAGAGTATCTGTTGAAACATATTCAGTCAAAAATGTAAAGCACTGCAGAACATTCTATTTGTGATTCCTGTTCAATATTCTGCTCTTCTCTAGATGCTTTTCTGCCTTTAAAAAGAGATGGCTTTAATAAGTAGAACATCTGTGTGCTGTTTTCCTTTGCTGTGAGAAATTACAGTAGTGCTACCTCAGGTTCCAGGGCTTGATAGAACTATGACTCATTTATTGTATTTAAATAATGCTTAGATAATCCTCTAGTAACTTTGGTTTCCTTTCCTTTCAGATACTTGGCAGTCCTCGGCAGCTTTGTGATTTAGCAGGGCCCTGCTGTTCTGAGTCAGAAGCCAGGAAGAGGTCTATTTCTAAAAGGAAGTCCCATCTGGATCTTCTCAAGCTGTACGCTTTGTTTCCTCCTTTAGCCTCTTCTCTCTTAAACCTGTGCACATAGGACACTTAAACAGTTGTACCTTCAGAAGTTGTACCTTCAGAAGTATACCCAAATATAAGCCAGGGTACCTCTCTGGTTAAATAAGCCATGAAAATGGCAGAGGCATAAAAGGTCTTACTGGTTTGTCATCAGCCTGGGCCTGTTTGTAAAGGCATAGATAACGACCTTGTGGAGTTTGCCAGAATACCCAAATATGTTGGTTTACAGCTGGAAATTCTTGGGTTTGGGTCCCTAAACTTGCAATGAAATAGCTGTGTGCTTATTTAGAGGTACATTTCCAAGATGAAGTCAAAGGAGATATTTGAAAATTTAAACATTATCAGATTGTGCAGGAAGGATTCTCAGTTCCTATAAAGATCATATCTTGTACATAAGATAATTTCCAGGACACAGATGGCTTTAAATTTAGCTTCAGTTGGGTGTTGATGTTTTGGGTTTTTTTAGAGTATAAGTGCTTGCCTATAAGGGAAAACATGTTGTGCATGCTGGTACAAATGCATGGTAACCGTTTCCCTGGTTAACACTCCCTTTACAAAGAGGGAGGCTTAGTAATTTGTTCTAATACTAGTTGTCTTTCTCAGGATTAGTCTTACAGGATTTTTCACTTATTTTTTTTCCTGTATGGAGGGATGGCATTGGATGATTGTGACATGCTCACTACGTGTGCTGCATCACTTAAATTAACTCTGTTTTTATTGTAGTATCATGGACGGGATGACAGAAGCATGCATCAAAGGTGGTATTGAAGCATGTTATGCTTCAGTGTCCTGTGTCTTTGCCCTGCTTGGAGCATTAGATGAGCTGAGCCAAGGGAGGGGTCTCAGTGAAGAGCAGATCCAGTTGCTGCTCCGGCGCTTAGAAGAATTGAAGGATGGGACTGAGACGAGCAGGGACTCCATGGAGATCAATGATGCCGACTTTAGGTGGCAGAGGCGCATCCTGTCCTCAGAAAATCCTGCCTGGGAATCAGGAAATGAGAAAAGTCCTGATATTAGCATTAGCGTTACCACAGACACTGGTCAGACCACTTTGGAAGGGGATATGGGACAGACAACTCCAGAGGATAATCCAGAAAGCCAAAAAAACTCACTGCCATCTCCAGCTGGACACGAAAGCAAAGAGATTCATTATAGAGAACTAGAGTCAGAAACCATCGACCAGCCAGACGTCGTTCAGAGAAGCCACACCATAGTCTATCCAGATATAACTAACTTCTTATCAGTTGATTGCAAGACTCGGTCCTATGGATCCAGATACAGTGAAAGTAACTTCAGTGTAGATGACCAGGACCTTTCTAGGACTGAATTTGATTCATGTGATCAGTATTCCATGGCAGCAGAGAAGGACTCGGGCAGGTCAGATGTCTCAGATATAGGCTCGGACAATTGCTCCCTGGCTGACGAGGAGCAGACACCACGGGATTGTCCAGGTCACAGATCCTTACGTACTGCTGCTCTTTCTCTGAAATTGCTGAAAAACCAAGAAGCAGACCAGCACAGTGCACGACTGTTTATCCAGTCACTTGAAGCTCTTCTTCCTCGGCTTATAGCTCTTCCCAGCATTGAGGAGGTGGATGGAGCACTGCAGAGCTTCTCTTCAACATTCTGCTCAGGTTTGCAAGCAAATATTTACTGTCTCACCAGCATTCACGCTGTGACAGCACTGTAAGCAGATTCTCTTGTAGGGTTTCATCTTCAGAGAACATACCCAAAATAAGGAGGTTTGTGCTTTACAAAGCACATTCCTCCACAGCAGCACACTTCATTTAGGCAAGCAAGTTGAATATGCAGGCACTGATTCAAAGGGAGGTCAATCCATTGACTCTTAACAGGCTCTGGATTATGTCCTCAGTCAACAGAGAAATCAAATTTTCTGTAGTAAGATATCTCTTCACAGATTTGTGAAGATCTGTTGAGAAGATTTGCACATGCTGTGATTAAAGAGAGGTTGGGCTTGCCCCTTAGCATGAAAGGGATGTGAGGAGGACCATCACCTGTTTTGAAAGAGATTTAAGTAGTTTAGTACATCCCTGCATTACTGTTAGTAATGCCAGCTTTGCAAAGAAAGTGGTAAAAATTCCATAGCAGTAAACTCTTGAAAGGATAAGAAAAGAGGAGCAACTCTCTTCTTCACTTTTGTTTTTATTAATACTGCTGTCTACCATGACAGGAAATGCAAAGCCCAGACCAAGTGAAAAATAGTTAAAGATCTTACATTTTAAGAGATTAAATACCTGCAGTTCTTTCAGAGGATCTTGTCTTGGTCAATCCAATCAAACAAAAAAAACACCATGCAAAGGCTAGTTTGTCCTGTTGATAGTATATTTTAGATGTGTGTATATATATATATAATTTTTTTTTTTAGAAGGGTTTCTTTTTTTTTTCTGACAGTGGTCAAAGTGGAAATGGTTGTTAAAACATATTTCTCTGTTTCTTTAACTTAATTCATCACAATTGCCTTTCCTATTGCTCCAGTTCTAATAATTGCTTCATTCATTTGTGCTCTCTCATAGTCATTAAACTCATAGAGTCAGAAGGCATACCTCCCATCATTATACAGCATAATTTAGATATGAATCTGGGTGAATAAGCTGATATTCCTGATACCCTGTTTAAATGGTGCCCAAATAAGCCCTATGTCAGCAAGATGGTAGATGACATTCTTAAAAAACATTGGCCATGTTATATCACAGAAGGGACGTATCTTAAAGGGGACATTAGTATTAATTACATTACTAATTGAGGTGCTCAGAAGCACAATGGATTTATTTTTCCTGAAAAAGAATGATCTTGAAGTTACGCCAAAAGACCAGGGCTAGAACTTCAGCTTAAACTTTTGTGCACCTGTTCCCTCGTGCATGAATGCATATACCACTTATTTTCTCTTTTGTCTGTCAAATCCCTTTAGAACATTTTAAGTGTTGGAAGAGATAGATCTAGCAGACTTTTAGATTTATAAAGCTAAATGCAGCTTTTGTTGTCATTCAGTATGACTAATACAGTGAGAAAGAGGGAAGAATATAACTCAATTTCTGCATTAAGTCCATAATTCTGGGTTTGTACATCTCTCTTAAAAAAGATACCTAGTCTTGAACTTAAACTGTTGAGAAAGACCTTTCACTTTCCTAGGAAAGCCACCCCCATGGCTAAATCTGTACATAAAAGTGTACACTATGTTTCCAGTCTGATTTGGTGAAGTATTCTTGGAAGGTGCCACTCAGTAAGGAATCATGGAAAAATATAGTAGCAAGTTACCATATTAAAATAGCTTGGAAGAGGTACCCTGGTGTTTTCATAGAGCTGTGGCTGTTAACAGAGTTGTAACTTTATGCTGTCCCAAGATCCGTACAGTTCATGTTTCAGTTGGACACCTGGAATGAGACTCAATCCAGTTGAAACAGTCCCTTAACATGTACCTCAGATCTTAAGAAAAGTCCATCAGTCTTCCTGAGGTGAGGACTTGTGTTCTTGTGCAGGTTTGAAGACCTGTAGAGAGAGAGACTTACTAAAGTTGAAACACGTGCCTGGTGGTAGGAACTTTCCCTGGAGAGCTTCTGAGACACCAGTGTGATCTGCCTCTCTAGGCAACATGTGAGTCCTTACTTCAGGACTCCTTTGTTAGCACCAACAATTCAAGGCACAAATTAGGTGATGAAGTTAGAGGAACCAGTCCTATTCATTGTATGTACAACATTTATTAATGTTTAATTCCTAAAGACTACATTAGGAAATTTGAGTATTGTTAAGATCCAAGTTTATAAGAGACAGATGCAGTTCTGAGACCAGCCAGTACAGAAGCAGTAATTTTGTGTTTCTGAGAGACCTTATTTAACTGCTTTGTTTCATTTTGCAATTTTTCTTACGCTTTGGGGGAAAAATACATTAGTTACAATTTAGTAGTCTTTCCTACAGGCTAGGTTCTTAAATAGTATTGTGATATTACTATGTTATCATAAGATTGAAAAGAAGGTAGGAATTTGAGGCACTGGTATGGGTGTATAAGCATGGAAAAAGTGAAGTCAGCTAAGCAAAGTTATAGTGAAATTAAGATTTGGAAGTCAGTTGGTTAAAAGCCTTCCTAAGCTACAATTTTCATCTTTCCTCAGAAAGTTACTCCTTGTTGCTAGATAAAACCAATGCCAAAACATTCGTTAGTGACACCAGAGTGTGATATCTATCTTAAAAAATCCTGCATTATCTAAAAATTCTCAACGTTACCTTGACTTGTACAAAACATTAAGTTTGCATTTTTTTCAAGGACCTCCTTTTACCTGGATGATTTAAATGACCTGTTGTCTCTGTTAGTGTGCGAACCTTGTTGTTTATTTTAGCTGGCAGATTTTTATAATTAAAGTTGATGATCAGTATTCTCTTAATTCAGATATAACTATTCTCATGAACTGCAGTGTTGGGGCATTAATTCTAAAAGTTGCGTGCCATTGTATGAAATAGCAAACATTTTTAGCACCTCCTTTCAGTTTTTATTTCATAGCTTTTAGCAGCAAGGTTTTTATGTTGGTAAGCATCATTGCAAGTTAACACATCAGCTAATCTTCTGCTTTTGGGATCTCAGCCTCTCCAAATTTAGTAGTTTATTATATTTTAGAGGAAATTCAGGACCGTATTTTTCCCAAACACTTTTGGGTGTTCCAACTATGTAGTAGCCACTTTAATGTGCAGTTATACACATTCCTCTTTAACTGTAGTCCTGTGTAGGATGTTACACAATTAAAAAAATATTTTAATGCAAAATAAAGTGGGCTTTCTTTTTATATCTCTCTGCCTTGATTTTTTTTATTACTCTAGCAGATGCTAGTCACAGAGGTTCATATTTAGAACAGATAAGGCATCAAATCAATATATTCTGACTACATCAATATCATGATCCTCCATCCAACAAAGTGTTAAGATGCATCTTTGTCTTCAGTGATAAAGGAGTTACCAGAGCTACTCACAGGCTACTTTCAAGCACATGGTTGCAGTTTTGGTTCTAGATAAAAATTCTCTGTTAACGTTCACCATAAGAAATCTACCCCAAGCACATGCCAACCCATGTGGGTATGGTTTATGGCCAGCCCTATCACCTCTTTTCCACAAAGGTTGCTCCCTTGAACAGCTATTCATTTTTTAGACCCACCCTGGAACAGTTACTCTCTTTCTAAATCCGCCCTCAAACAGTTACTCACCTTATCCACGCCCCCAAAGTGACGACAGTGGAAAGTCCGAGAAGGCAGCAGCACAGAACTTTCAAACCCTCACGAGGCAAGAAAAACATTTGCTTCTTTTCTGTGTGTGGATTTTTTTTTTTTTTTAATGTTAATGGTTTGTTGTATTTTGTCTAAGAAGAGTTATGAGCTTTATGGTGGGAGGAATATATTCACAGTAAACCACTGCAGCAGTTAACAAATGACACAGCTTTGCTTCATCATGTAACTAACCTTGGAAGCTGGATTTTGTTTCATTTCAAACATTCCTCTAGGATAAAACTTACTCCTTAATCTTCCCTAACTGACATTATATGAATGGATTTCACAGTTGATGTGAAAACCATGAAATATTGTGGGTCATATAGGGGTGTCTAATAATTCTGATTTTTTTCATGGCTCAAACTACAGATCATGGGGATTCAATTAGGCATTGCTCATACTAGATTTATGTTTTTCTACCAGTAGGACAGCTTACTCAGGAAAATGTATGTGCCGTCCATCCTACCTGGGAAGAAGGGATTGTGCCACTGGGCATGGTTGTAGGCTGTTGTTTCATACAAATAGTGTTTTCAGGAGTACTGAGCACTTACAAGTGGCTTCTGGGTCTGACAGAGCTGCAAGTGCTCAGCTATCTAGAAAGCAGGTCTTGTATGAACTAAACAGGGCTTGGAGTTCCAGCCAGCTTGGCCCCAAATATCTATCCCAACACCTCCTAGGCAATGGAGAGAATGATGTTCCTGCAAGGTGCTGAGCACTCCAGTCTCCATCCAACAACTCACTTAGGCAGGACAGATTTACTAGGGGGTTAAAAGGGCTGTCACCCTCCTTTGGTGCAGTGTATGCTCAGTTAAATATGCAGGCTTTGCCTCTGCCCCTTCCCACCTCACCTTTCCAGTTAGCATTGCAGATGTTTCCTGCCCTTTGCTTTGTACCTGACAGTCATCCCAATGAGTGTTGGTGCTCCTTGTGTATTTCAGATTTAGCTTGTTGCTTTGCTGGACTGTGACTGGAGTGTTCAGTTTGCCTTGCAGCACTGCATTCTAGATGGACTACTTATTTTTCTATTCTCTTTTAGTACATTTAGTAGAGTAATTTCTACTGATGATTCATTAACTATTCTAGCAATCTGTTGCTGCTGAAATGCTAGGGTTAGTTTCTGATTTTTTTTTTCCAGGCAAAATCTGTGTAAAATGTGAGAGCTCACATGGTGTTTTTGTTAGGTATGATGCACTCACCAGGATTTGAGGGAAACCTAAATTTCAGCTTCCAGACTCTGATGAATGCAGACAGTCTCTACATGGTCTCACATTACACTCTGCTGCTCAACCTAAAATTGGCCAACTCGGATTACTACAGAAAGAAGCCTGCCCAAGCCCCTGTGTTGCTGGTGAGTTGGAGAATATGGGAAAGCTGTTAAAAAAAGAAAATTTGTTTTGCTTCCTTTCACATAAAACAGCCCACACGTAAAGCCTTCAGGCTGCTTGCTAAGTGGAGGAATAATAATTGCAAATGAAGCATTCTCCTAGATGCTTACTAATCTTGCATCATAAATGTCACGCATCTGAATTACACAGCTTCTCTGTAATTTGAAGGGGGAATGAATGCTGCTTACTGATTATCATTAAAGTAGCAGTCATTTTGATGGATACTCTATCTTCAGAACAGATCTTCATTAGTATCACATGATACAGCAAGTACTGGTTGTGCATGTTATCAAGGGACATACCTTCTTCATCTTGCAGCTACTTTTGAGCATAATGACAAATTTCTTGCTTGATTTGTATTTGCAAAGATGAAGACATGAGAAGATAGAGTGAAAAATATGAACTGATAATTTCTGTGGCACCTGGGATTCCTCAGCTTCTTGGTCTTTTAAAAAATTTTTTCGAAGGCTGCAGGAGCTATAAAACATGCATCTAGGTTTTTCAACTAAATTGCCCAAGAGAAGGTTTTTCAGAGTTTTCCTAAAAATAAAAAAAAAATGGTGTTACATGAAACAAAAAAACTCAAACCAAAAAAATTCTACCAGAATGTACCGTTATTGCTGAGCTTCCCATGGAAGAGAATTTATATTCTAGAATAAGTCCTCAAAAACAACTGTGTTTTAACATCATCATCAGTTCTGGTATGTTCTTCAGCAGCTGTGAGAACAAATCTGTGACTCATAACCTTCTCTAGGGACAGCCTGTATACAACAGGTCTGAGCATGACCTAAGTATTGTTGAAAATAGTTCAGATATCTAATTGGACCCCAGTTCATCTATGGTGACTGTTCAATGCAGAAGGGCCTGATTGCTGGACAGGCAGTATTAGGTGCCACAACTTCTTGTTGTTGGAATTGAGATCCTACCCATACCTTATGGAAATAATGAGAGATCAGCACATCCCTTTGTCACTGTTCAAGAACTGTCATTATGATTTGCATCTTGCATGAACTGCAATAAGAGAAAGGAAAGTTCTTTGTTCATGTAATTCTCCACTATAGAGACACATTGAAATCCATGGTTAATTATTGGTTTTGCATAACTTCATTTCTACTCCTGCATTCCTTTACACTCAGGAGTAGATCTATGGGCTGAGACTCATGCTGTAGAGCTTACTGTTGTCTTACATCTGGCTTTTATGGTTCTCTGCAGAAGGAGTTCATGAAGCAGGTCCAGTCCAGTGGTGTGTTGATGGTATTTTCCCAGGCCTGGGTTGAAGAACTGTACCACCAGGTACTAGAAAGGAACATGCTGGGGGAAGCTGGATATTGGGGAAGCCCTGAAGAGCACAGCCTTCCACTTATCACCATGCTGACCGGTAAGTACTATGTTATGGTGACAAGGCTGGCTTCCAAACACGTCTAAAATAAGCTACAGTAACACACTGCTTCCTTCATTGCATTACATACAGAACAGCATGTCATCATGCAACACATGGTGTTTCACAAAATTACTGGTAGAGAAGGAACCAGACTTAACTGACAGGTACTTAAGTGTTTGTTTTGGATCAGACAGAAAGCTTTTGAAGCATGGGTTTAAAAACAAACCATCCCTGGGAGACAGGGAGAGTAGGTTTGTTCGCTGAACCAAAACATCTCTTAATTCTGTAAGCTTCAGTTCTGGTAGACTTGGTACCCGTTAATGATAAGTGGTAAGAGTGCTGATTTCCTGATGTCATAGCAAAGCCATTTCAGTGTGCCTGTGGTGCAGAGCAAATATAGTGGTGTCTGATCCTGGAGGACTTAAACAGATTGTGCTCCCCTTGGTTCAGATTTGTGCTATGTCAGAGATAATGCCAAACGGCACTAGAGAGAAGCTGAAAACCTGGAGCACCTCTAACATGCTTAAAAACAATCCTTAGCTTCATATGAGGAAAAAAATAATAATTGTTTCAGCTGAAAGGCAGCAGGATGTCTGTGATACTGTATTGATCTAAAGTTCACTGTCTGATTAAATGCGTATACTCTATGATTACAGAGAAGTAATTAAAACAGTGTATGCAGAGAGAGCACTGGCTTTAGCTGAGCCATTAACTAGTAATCAAAGGTCACTGCTCTGAGATTTTTTTCCTGATTCTATTGAGCTCAGTGTTGCGTTTAGCTATTGAGCTGGGAAGCTGAAAGAAGCACTTTAGAAAAACAGTAGCCTTGAAGTATGTGAAGAAGAGACAGACAGACAGGGACTACTAGAAAGGAAATCAACCTGTTGTCCCTAACATTAAACTCTCTGTGAGAAACTGGTCTTTTGTTGTGTTGGAGAAAGGGTTGTATTTCTTTTGTTGAGATTGAACCTACATGGGTTTGCTAAAAATTGCATTTAGGACATAGGGTCCCAGTGCATCCTGAGGGCTCAGACTGAAGTCTGGAAACATCTAGATACAGAATTTAGCAAGATTTGAAAGGTTATACTGAGAAACATGGGAAGTTCTGAACTGTAAGAAATACCATGAAATCTTTGCCTGAGAGTTCTTCTGACTGTGTAACTTGGCAGGGGGGATAGGAGGCTTTTGAGAGCAGGGTATTTCCCTTCTTCAAGAAAACATTGGTTATATTGGGCAAAGCATAATATGCAACAGCTCATGCTTATGCCAAGGCTTCAGAAGGGCACCAGAAAAGAGCACTCCTGAGAAGTCAGGAGTGCTAGTACGTATTTGAACAAAGAGCCAGTAGGGGATGCTTTCTTTTTACCATCTGTGTGTCAAATAGTAATCTGTTGGGTTTTAATGTTCTGACAGACATCGATGGCTTGGGAAGCAGTGCGATTGGTGGCCAATTGATGGCATCTGCTTCAGCTCAGTCTCCTCTTTCCCAAAACCGGAAGACAGATGATTCTGTTGTTGCAGGTATTACTAGACTGTATTATATGCACAAGTGTATCTATCAGCAGTGGATTGTTATATACCATAAGCATATTCAGATAAATTGTGACTTAGAACAACAATTTTAAGGGTTGAGGGAAGTACGTTAGTACATCCTATATGTGAATTGGTAGTCCAGTATGCAGAGGATAAATATGACTTGTTTTTTACCCCTGATAATAAAGCTGCTGTTGTGCAATTTTCCAGTAGTAGTAATGCATTTCTCATTACAGGAGTTGCCTTTGCCCGATACCTTTTAATTGGCTGTTGGAAGAACTTGATTGACACTTTGTCCACACCACTGACTGGCCGCATGGCAGGCAGCTCCAAGGGGCTGGCTTTCATCTTGGGAGCAGATGGAGCCAAGGAGCAGAACCAAAAGGAGAAGGACTCCATCTGTGTGAGCCTGGATGGACTGAGGAGGGCGGCCCGGCTGAGCTGTGCTCTAGGTACTGCTGCATGTGGGATCATGGCAGACTCATAAAATAGGATGGTAACTTTCCTTGAAGGATTTTATGAGAGAGAAAAGCAGCATCTTGTTCCAGTCTTGGATGGGAACCTGGACTGTAGGACTCCCCATAGAATGCACCTGCCCTACAGCATAGACTTATCCAGCCAACTTTCTTCGACACAGCCTGTTGTTGAGGTTGCATGGGACTGGGGAGGAAGTGCTGGTTGAACAGTAACTGTGTTGTTGCCTTACAGGAGTTGCTGCTAACTGTGCATCTGCTCTTGCCCAAATGGCTGCTGCCTCCTGTGTCCAAGAAGAAAAAGAGGAAAAAGAAATCCAAGAGCCCAGTGATACTATAGCTCAAGGTTGCTATGTGATTAAATTACCTACCTTATCTTGTATTGCCTGCAAAGATGCAACTGGAAAGTATTTTGCTACACACAGAACAAGGACAGAGGGCGATGCCACTACTGTGCACCACTCACTTGTAGGCATATGGGATGTACGTCTAGAGGCTTCAGTACATGTCCTGCTGTCTTAGGCTCTTAACATTATGTCATACTGATTATATTTTATATGGAACTGAAATCAGTGGAACAACAGAGAAGTAAACAGTATTTTTGAAATGTGCACTTTCTAAGCTTTGCAATACTAGTGCAACAGGGCATCAGGAAAACAATATCTTTTTAATGTGTTGGGTGGTAATATAAGCTGAGTTGGCATCCCTGCCTTGCATATACATCCTTGGTTGCCTTTTGTCATCATCACATATTTAAAACTGTTCCTGAATCATGTTAAATGAATCATGCTAAAGGAATAAAAAAAAGATATATTTATAACATATACACATTTCTGCATCTTCATACCACTACTTCAAACCCAGTGGAAGTCAGTAAAGTCAATTGTTTCCAGTGGCTGTTTGGAGAAGCACATAAAATATGTCTGACATCTGATTTCTAATGGCAAGAAGCCCATATCAAAACACAGTGTTGCACAAATGACTCTGCTTAGCACTTAAATTTGGTGTCTTAGAGAAAACAAAACTGAAATAGACCTGAGCACAAACTAGCTTTTTTCCACCCTGCTAGGTATAACTGAAGTGAATTGGCCAGGCCACACTGAAGCAAAGAGGGAGGCAGTAGAAGTGGCCAGAGGCCAACAAGATCTGTTCTGTGAAAGCTTGTAAAGCTTCAAAATTTGTTTCCATTCCAATGCAGCAAAGCTCTTCAGAGATTCTCAGGAAAAAGAATGAGGTCCAAAAGCTTGTAATTCACATCATGATTAGTTTTGCTTTGACAAGAGTATCCATTTACAAAGCTCTTTGGTGAAACTTTTGTATGGAAATGGATGTGAAATCTGCAAACTGGATTTTTTTTTTTTTTTTTTTTTTTTTTTTTTTTTTTTTTTTTTTTTTACCCAGCTCCAAAGTCTGCATCTGTTCTGTGGGCAACAAGATGTGAATTTGGGGGTGGAGTGTCAATCTGGCATTGATTGTTGTCATGCTTATAAGATCAGTCAAAAGGGATTTAATTTTAAAACTGCCTTATGTTTGTTAGGAAGAAATGAGTTTCTCTAATTTATTTTTTGTCTAAAATCCATGATCTTTTATAACTTTCAGACTGTATACCTTTGTCATCACCCTGTATACAAACTGGTGTTTGTTTAAAAGCTGCAGAAGCTAATGGGTTTTTTTATTTTTCATGCTGCAGTGAAACAGAAAGTGGAGCAGAAACTGGAGCAGATGGGGAAAGTGCAGGGCGTCTGCCTGCACACTGCTCATGTTTTGTGTATGGACGCAGTCCTTAACGTGGGCCTGGAGATGGGAAGCCACAATCAGGACTGTTGGCCTCATGTGTTCAGGTACTCACCAGCTTTCCCAAAAGAAACAGAATTTGTACCATGTTGCCTGAAAGTAATGAACTGAGAAAAAGAACTTTACGTGCTCTGGGAGTGCTCTGCAGAAACAGTATCAGAGTGAATTGCCTGTATCTGTAAGAAAAAAGCCAGTGCTGTTTTCCACCACTACTCAGAGACCAAATCAACCCTTAGAAACTTCAAAATGGGCTTTTCAGGCACCTCCACTGAACTGTTTGCTATCTAGACTTATGGGAGGCCAAAGGATATAAGAAGACAGGTTATCTATATGTAGTCTGAGAGTTAGAGGTTTTCTACAGTTTGAGGAAAATGCCCTGTGCATCATATCTGGTTCAGATGTAGAAATCAGTGCCTGCAAATTGGTTTCCATGTAAGCTGGCATCTTACAGTGATGGGGCCATGAGGCAGCTGAGAGCTGTATGCACACTATCCTGACTCATCTCTGGAGTACAGACCCAAATGTTTCTTCAGTGAGCCTGGTGATTAGCGGGGGGAGTTGTTGTTTGGGGGTTTTCATTCATCTTTTGCTTCTTCTGTTTGTTCTCAGGGTGTGTGAGTACATCAGCACACTGGAGCATACCCACTTCAGTGATGGTGCTTCTCAGCCCTCCCTTACCATCACCCAGTCACAGCAGGCACCTGGAGGGCTGCACCCAGACTCTGAGCCTGGGGAGTCTCCCCAGGTGCTGACCCCTCAGCAGGAGACGACCCTTAGCAGCAATCCTGTCATTCAGCCGGTTTCTATACAAGAACTCATCAAAGAGAGCAGTAAGGGCAGAGCTTTTGACTTCCGTGGAGGCAGCCTGCTGTGTGGAACCAGTGCTGCCAAGGCTGTTCTCACACTCTCCACACAAGCCGACAGGTAAAAGCAGCACTGTCGGGAACCAAAATCCTTGTTCCCTAAACAGGACCGAAATGGACATTTTTGTGGTGCATTGGGACCTGATCTCTCTCCATTGCAGCTACTTGCTTTGGTTGAGTTTCCCAAGAGCTGCAGGTGTGTCACAACCAGCAGTTCCTTAAAAGCCCTGGTTTTCTGCATCCCTGCAGTACCTGCCCTGCAGGTACTGGACTGAGTATGTCTGTGCACAACAGTGAATATGCCAAGTAAATCAAATGCTTCCTGAGTGGTGGATTTATCGCTTCCATGTAAATTAATCATTAAAGTAGACACAGTAAGTAGGTGTTTTGTCCTGATGGGAAGGGACTGAGTGACAATTAGAAAGCAGCTGCTTCTGTTAGGACTGTGTGGACAGCTTGTCGCCCCTCCCAAGCATGTCCAGAGGACAAAGGGCCACCAGTCATGGTCACAGAATGGCTAGGTTAAATGTCCCTACAACACAGTCTGCAGACTGATGTTGCACACTGTCTCATTATTTCTGCTATTCTTTTGGCAGCCCAGGCTAGAATTGAAAGTTTCCTGGGTTTGTGTGCTTCTAATAACCTTTCTTCTCCAGCTAACACTTTATGTTCTTGATCTCTACCCATAGGAGGGTGTTATTTGCAAATTTGGGGGAAAAAGTAATGCATACTGATACTGCTTGTAGGTATTTGACTCTGTGCATCAAAAGTACCTTTTATTTAGGAAGCTCACAATACAACTTGGTTCTAAGGATTAGGGAACAGCAGTACTGTGATTTTAACAATGCAAATTTAATTTCTGCACTTATACTTCAGTGCGGACATTATTAAGACTCAATCTAGTTTCATAGGACTATAGTAAGTTTTTCATGAAAAGCAATGTCAGAAAATCATATTTGTGTCAACATTCGGCTGCACCCTGTGAAATTTCACCTTAATCTCTGTGGAATCTACCTCCTGCATAAGCATGTTTACTGGTTTTAAGGGTACAGATTTTAACTCTTAAATCTTAAGAGTTCCTTGCAGCTGAAAGTAACAACTCTTCTTTATATTCCAAAATAGCAATTCAGGTACAGGAACTTTAGGTCTAACAATTGAATTGTTTCTCAGGTAAGGGGCTATAACTTCAGATGGAGCAAACTGGTGTAACTCTAAAGTCACTGGAGCTGTGATGATCTGTGTTGTGAGGAGTAGGCTTATTCTTACTGGTTTTTTTTTTTACTACTGGCCCATGAACTGCTTATATCATTACGATACAGTAATGGGGAAGTGTTGATTCCTTGAAAAAAGTGACTTTTTGTTTTGGTCCTGCAGTTGAATCTTGGAAGGGTTCTGGTTGATCCTACAGCACCCTACTTTCCACCCTCCAATTAATAAAGCTGAATCAAAGTCTTTCTGTAGCACTGTATAAATGAAAAAGCCCTCAATAACCCAGTGTGTCACCAAACGTAACACATAGCAGCCATGTACAGATGACGGTTTTCCTGTTACATACACATTTAAGTCTTTATCTTGTCAATATTTCAATTAGATACTGTTGTTTCAATCACAGGCTTTTTGAAGATGCTGCTGACAAGTTAAACTTGATGGCACTGGCAGGCTTCCTTTACCAGCTCAAGAAGGCTTCTCAGGCCCAGCTTTTCCATTCAGTCACAGATACAGTTGATTACTCCCTAGCAATGCCAGGTAACTCACCTGAAGATCCCTTGCAGAGTTCTGTGTTTCATATACAACTGTACTGCTTACAGGACTTACTGTTTTAATTTTTCCAACTGAAATTTCAAGGTATAAATAAAACACAATGTTTAGTCTAGTCAGATCTTTTTGTAGGAGCAATTCAAAGTCTTTAGAAAAGTTTGAGCACTTTTTTTTGGACAGGGACCACATCCACATCTGCTATGAAGCTCTTCAGAGGACATCCATTTTGTTCTTGGAGTTTGGGGGTGTTAATTATCCACAGATATTTAATCACAGTTCCATTTTGGAGCCTGATCCAGTAAGGAAACTTAGGTGAGTGTAGACCTAAGACAGTGGACTTAGGTTAGACATTTGACAATGGGATAACCTCAGAAGTGTTCAGAAAATGAACAAACAAAGCATGCAACTGAAGAATGTTAAAGCTGTGGGATTGTCCTGCTTGCTCTCCCCAAGCAGAGTGGAGCATACACCTTATGGTAAAAGCCTGTCAATTGTTTTCATCACTGTCTCAAATAAAGCAGAATTGGACCCAAAGAAGGATATTTTACTTAAATTTATGCTGTGCCTTTAGAAGTTACATTAGTCATACAGGTTTTGTTCTGTCCTATGATGGACATGGATTCTATCTGGTATATGCCTCCAATTTAATCAGTTCCTCTCTCCCTGAATTGCTGCTTGTCATTTTCCCAGTGTGACACTTCAAGTTGTTCATTTTTTGCTCTTGCTTGTCTCCATGCCAAATCATTTATCACTGTATTTTTAATAAATAGTGATCATCTTCTCATTTATGTAGTAGTCAATCAACAGTAGTTAGTAATAATGAAATTAAAATTAGTATTAGAGCAACTAGGGGCTTTTTATATATTAGAAGTGGTATGCCCCCTGATTATGTCTTTCACTAGAGATAAAAGCACCAACATATTTTAAATGAAAGAAAGAAGTGTCTTTCCAAATGTTGTAGGAACAGTAGAAGATTAATCCCTTTCAGTAGGAAATAACAAGTATTACTGGCTGGGGAACAGAGAAGTATTTTCTCACATTCTCTGCTTCATTATCCTTTGCTTGATAAGAAATGCAAAAGTGCAAACCAAAACTAAGTAATTTGCAGTTTATATTCTCCCCTGTAGATGTCACCAGAGGTTTTTGCAACTACTATTTTGGGTCTTCATATCAGTTATCTAACTTTTTGCTTACCTCTTCTGCACTGCTTCTCCAAGCCTTTGTCTTTAAAATATTTGCAAAAAAAAAAAAAAAAACAAAACGCAACGCTTAAACCAGATAAAGTGTATTTAATAAGTTGTTCTTAAGACTTGGGTCCATCTCCTGTTCTTTTACCTACACAGGCATAGTCTGTGTTTTAGACTGATGTGGTGGGGTTTTTTTCCTCTACCACCCTCCCTGCCCCACTCCTGCCCCCGACTTAATACTAAGAATTTTTAACCTGATTTAAATTCTAATTAGACATCTAGAGATGGAGGAGCTGCTATTGCTTAGCTTACATTTATTTTCTTGTACTTTCTTGTAGGTGAAGTAAAATCTACTCAGGACAGGAGAAGTGCACTTCACTTGTTCCGACTTGGTGATGCCATGCTCAGAATTGTAAGGAGTAAATCTCGCCCGTTGCTCCACCTCATGCGCTGCTGGAGCCTGGTGGCTCCTCACCTTGTAGAGGTAGGAGTAGGGGAGAAAATGAGAACGTGTGCAAGAGATGACAAAGCTGAAAAAGATGGAGAAGACTTGATAACTCTTAAAATGTGTGTCTGCACTCAATGTTGTCAAATCTGGTTACACTCCTGTTGGGGTATTGTATATCTTGTGTCATATGTTGTGATGCTGCCACCAAGGAGTGCACTTTTAAGTAATTGAAATGGGCAGGTCCAGGGACAGTGTGTTGAATTTTTGAAATGTGATACTTCCTGTGCGTCTGTGGTAAAAAAAACCTGAAACCACCCTAAAAGGTTACAGGTAGCTCCTTCACCTACCTGTTTTTCCAGTCAAGGTCTGCATCCTTGTAAATCTTCCCATAAAAGGATGCAGGCTTTCTTTTCCTATATAAAACCAACTAGGAAGATGATGACATTTTTCACTTTCCTTCTCTTTCTTCATGAACCATGGTCAGTGGCATGCCAGTAGCAGCCATATACTTGATTTCAGTTATAACAAAGGACCTTTTCTCAACCAAACTTTGAGTCTTATCTGGTGAAAAGCTGGTGTCTTGACTTACAGCATTTTTGATTTGTATCATTGCTGTAAATAAACTTGCAGTACTTCCTTTCTTTCTCTTGGTGAGGTATGTGGTGTCACCTGCTCAGGTCTATTGGGAGCATGCTTCTCTGGAGTTTTAAGACAAGCTATGCAGTAAATTGCCATAGCACTTCATTTCATTGACTCAATAAAATGTGTGGACTCTCTTACAGCAGAGTTCAGACATTGCAGAGTCTTGGTGGAATCTCTCTAAGTGAAGTAGAAATAGCAGAGAACAGCTTTGTTGTATGCTTTATCTTGAAAACTAGTGTCTCATTTGCTTTTGGATGCCAATCTGAGACAACTTTAAATATTTCTCATGTTTTGAACCCTTTTAAAATCCCAGGTCAATTTAAGCTCAAGTATACCTTCCATATTTTTAGAATGCAGGGCTGATCAGTCTTTTTGGTTGACTTCAGTGCAGATGAGGGCATTACTGGGAAGGAGCAATATCAGGGAAAGGACAGAATTTAACATAATGTGCATAGTTGCTCAAAACAGTAATTTTATATCCAGATTCATTGGGTTTTAATTTTTTAATAGCTCTTCTAAAAGTGATATGAACCTTCTCACTTTAAGTTCCATAAATAGCCAAATAAAAAGTGACACTTGGTTGTGCATAGATGAGTATGGTGAATATATACAGAAACTACCTTTCTGAAGGGAAAAATGGTCATATGGTAGAAACAAAAGGCAACGTTTCACACAAGTTCTGTAGGTTTTATTATTTATTTATTTATAGCTCTGTGCTTTTTCAATTGTCTGCAAACCTCCATGCATCTGTGGGACTCCAAGGAGTTAAGAGTCTCAGTCGTCATCTGTTTCCATGGCAGTACTCTCCCATTTTCATTGCAGTGGGGTCTCTTGTCACATTAGTGGTGAAGCCATTTTTAGGGTTCAGCAAATGAAGTGCTTATCTCCTTTAAAAGTGTCTCACTAATGGCAAATTTTTTGCTTAGACAAACTAACACTCCTCCTTTCCCTTCAGGCTGCCTGTCATAAGGAGAGGCATGTGTCTCGGAAGGCTGTCTCCTTCATCCACGACATCCTTACTGAAGTGCTGACAGACTGGAATGAGCCTTCTCATTTTCACTTTAATGAGGCACTTTTCCGCCCCTTTGAGCGTATCATGCAGCTAGAGCTATGTGATGAGGATGTCCAAGACCAGGCAAGTTAGCCCTGATCAGGGTGTATGTATCTGACCTACCATGTGCATAAGGATGGTCTCCAGAATGCACTTGGTCCACTTAAGAGTGTTTCCCAGATTTCCTTCAAATGCTGCCCCTTAATTGTCCTCAAGGAATCAGGAGGGCTCTGCCTACCTAAGCCAGCATTGTGGTAGAGCATGGAGACAGTACACCTGTCTTTAAAGTAATTACATAAAACTTCTCTATTATCTAAAAAAAAAAAAAAAAATTTGTAGAGACTGACATAGTGAAATCTAGGAATGTGTTTAAAGCCATCCTCATTCCTTCTAAAGGTCCATCTATGTATCAGTTCTGGTTTTTGGTTTTAATCTTTTAACCTCTCCTACACTGTCTGCAGGTGGTCACCTCTATAGGAGAGTTGGTGGAAATGTGTTCTACCCAGATCCAGTCAGGATGGAGACCCCTGTTCAGTGCCCTGGAAACAGTGCACAGCAGCAGCAAGTCAGAGGTTAAAGAGTACCTTGTAGGAGAATACTCTATGGGTAAGGACTTAATGCACTGACTGTTCCATATGTGCTTTTGTTTCCCTGTCTTATTCCTTGGGGACACAATAGCTACCTCAATGTATTTAAATGCCCTACCTGAGTAGTGCTGCAGTACTCCAGGACTGCACTGATATATCTGGTTTATTAGTTGGGGTGGGAGGGACAGCAGAGGTCTTGTTCTGACTTTTTATCTTCTAGATTCTGGCAGATGAGTAGAATGAGAAAGAAGTGCTTCAAACCTACTTGAATATTGTTGAACAAAACAGTACTGCAGGAGTACTGAGCTTGACTGGGCCCTTTTCACTGTCCTGCTAGAGAAAGCTTACCATATACAACCACCACATCTCATGTGGACTGTCTTTCTTACTATGTGAAATTTATTGGTTTTATACATCAGGGTAATTTAGTGTGATAATCTAGGAGGGTGCTTGTCCAGGCACTTAATCACGAGGCTTCAAATTGCTAGCACTATTACAAACCATGTTTGCTGTAAGAATGATTCTGCATCCTTCTCAGAGATGTTTGCTTATATGAAAACTGGGTAATATGGGACAATCACTTTAATCTGTTCTGTTGCCCTGTTAGATGGTATTTTTAAATGTGACAAGTCACATGTAAGGGATATGGTTTTCCTTCTAAATTTTTCTTTCAGATCTGTTATGATTAATGGCAAAATGCAAGTCTATACAGCCTTTGAAACCTAATAATCTACTTAAGAAAAGCAAGTCTATTTTGTTACTGTATACTCTGAATAGTTTTCCATGACTGCTGTCATCTTGTCAGTTATCAAGAACTAAAGCAGAAACCTCCACCAAACCGAAGTGCCAGCTACTGAGCTGAGTTCAAGAGCTCAGACCTGTTCTTAGCATTTGGGCAGGCATAGGCTGATATTTTTCATAGATAAGGCAAAGGAGGGAGTCTATATTACTTCCTATGAAAGGCTACACAAGTTGTCTCAAGAGCAAGAGAAGATTTTAGTTCTAAGATCATTGCTGACACTGACCAGAATAGAAGAGGTTTTACAGATTCAGTTAAATTGTTGAAAAACTGTTGGAAAATCACCTTTATGGGGGATGGGGAAGAGTTCTCATCTTGTTATTTCCACAGGGAAACGCCAGGCTCCGGTGTTTGATGTCTTTGAAGCATTTCTAAACACAGACAGCATCCAGGTCTTTGCCAATGCCGCCACCAGTTATATTATGTGCCTTATGAAGTTTGTCAAAGGACTGGGTAAATGTTTTTATTTTCCTTTTATCCTATTAAGTCATGATATGTAAAACTTGGTCCCGCAGAAGAGGAGAATTCAATAATGTAATACATTGCATGGTAGGGAGGAGAGAGGCAGTGAAGAAATTGAGTCCAGAATGCTTTAAAAAATAAAATAAAAACCAAGGGATTATTTTAGGAACATTTTTAATGCTGTCAATTCTTCAAGTTGTTATAGCAGCAAAGATGAATCTCACTATTAAATGTCTGCTTCATTTGGTCTTAATTTGTATCAGGACTTGCTTATGTTAAGTTAAATAATTTGGGAAAAAAAACAAACCACAAACCCCAGAATATTGCAGAAATGTCATGGCAGTATGCAGTGACATCATGGATTGTCTGCAACAGAACAGCATATTTTTACATTCAGTGGTCAAAGCCACATTGGCTCCTTTTTACCCTTGCCCACCTCAGTTTGACATATGCATTGCTGAAAACCTACTGAACCTTCAGTGAGATCATGAGCATTTCAACTAGCAGCACTCTGTCTCCATGATTAGTTTTTCCGTTGTGTTACTGAGGGCAGTGGAGACCAGGCATGTCAAGTCAAGGTGACCCTGCAGGGTAATTGTGGTGCTTCACCAAACTTCAGAAGAAAGGCAAATGGTCTTGGGTTATCCTGCCCCCATATTCATGTTCCCTGGCTTGTCTTGATCATTAAAGTTTGACACTTTCCGTTGAATTGTGGCAATGTGTTTTTTTTTTCCTTACGTAAATTGCAAAACTTCTAATGAGTGGTAAAATGTGGTGCTTTTTTTACATTTATATTAATACACAGAGATATCTTGGTCTGTGTCTCCCTTTGATTTAAATGAAGCACATAATGCATCATATCTAGTCTTCAATGTAAATCTCATTTTATGAAGCTATTTCACTATTCAGTGGAGGCAGAATTCGGCTTTTGATGACAGATGAGAATTGTAATTGTTACTACAAGAGAGAAACAAACTTGCATGTTCAATACCAGTAGAGGGAACTCATGTTCCTTCTGGAGAACTTAAGAAATGTTAGACAGACTTCTAAGGTTTCTTACTTACATGAGTTAGGTTTGCCACCTTACTTACATGAGTTAGGTTTGCCACTTTTGTATTAAAGGTAGTAGGACTATGGGATACTTCAGTACTGAACAATAGCAAATACATTTATGTTCATTTTAACATAGAAGTGAAAGATTCAAACTTCAGTGGCTGACATGGCTGATCTCAATAGTAGACAAGACTTTAAAATACATTATGAAGGGAATAGTTAAAGCCATAGAAAAAACAAATAAATGTAGTGAAAGTAGAATAAAGTAGGATTTAATAAAAAGATTTAATATTTATTGTGTGTTTTTTATGAGAGGAATAGCTTTTATGGCAATATAAAATGTTAACATATATAAAGTTGGTAAAGATTCAGATTTGGCACTGAATGGGAAGTATTTGGCTAAACTGGAAAAATGGTTATGAGCCATTTATTCTAGGGTGGGCAGAACATTGGCTGAGAGGGGAGGAAAACAGATTGTGCAGACAAGGAAAATGCTGGAGTGAATGTAGTGACCTAAGGAGGAACTCTGCAACAGGATGCCTTGGAACTAGTACACTTAGAACTACTTGGAAGTAGTACACTTAGTGAAGCTGACCTAGAAGTAGGAGTCTGCTGATGCCACAGAGTTAGAAATACATGTGATACTAGAGCCTGAGGATATCATACAGTTGAAACTGTGAGACCTTGAAACCTGAATTAGATGGCAGAAGGAAATATTGTAGCACAAAATATAAAATGGTGTATTTAAGGAGTAAATAAACTAAAAGGAAGAAATTTTCCAGGGCACTGGGTTGTAAATGAACAGAAAAAAATTAGTATAGTAATTGAGCAAAGGGTGAATATGAGCAGGTAATTCATACACCCATGGAAAACAGTGGAGTCAATATGACAGATGACTGTAAGGTATGGTTATAAGAACTCCCAAAGGCTCTACTAAAGACTTACTAAATAGGCATGCATTTATTATTTACTCATATAAAAGTCTGTGTATGAACTGTGACCAATATGAATGTATTGTTTGTATGTGGATCATCTGATTTTCATCTAATAAGATCAAACAAAGGATGTTTTCTGGATTCTATTCAGACATTAGGACGCAACTGAATGAAAAAGGAAAACTAATGTTATGTTTGTTTCTCTTCTTCTGTCCTTCCCAATGCTGCCTTTCCTGTCCCCAGGGGAAGTAGATTGTAAGGAGATGGGCGACTGTGTGCCAGGATCAGGATCTGCATCTACAGACTTGTGCCTTCCTGCGCTTGATTACCTCAGGAGATGTTCTCAGGTATCATGATCTTATACAGGTACTAACCTGGCCTAGGAAGCAGTTCTAACCTCCAGGCTTTGCATCAATGGTTAGGTGATTTGCATGAACACAGCAGAATCTGTGGTAAACCTGATGGTAATAACCTGCACTGCCAGATGAAGAATGGCAATCTGAAGGAATCTCACACCTTCTAGGCCAGCTAACAGTGGGAAAACTGAGGAGATAAAATCACTCAGATCCAAGGAGCACGTAGGAAAATGCAAATGTTAAAACCTAGTAGTAACATATTCAAAGCTACATTCAATCTTACTTAAACAGTTACTGTAAACAGTGTTGGGAATGAAGGAGAAAAGAACAACACCCTGAGAATTCTCAGGTCTTAAGAAGAGCAACAGGTTACACCCTCTAAAATGCAGCAGCATCTTATCTGTACCATGAAAACATATCTGAAGGTCAGGGCGAATCTCTAACAGTTAGAATGCTGGCATGTTTCCTGTAATCTCCTTGCACACAGCACAGATTATTGTCCAGGGTTATTAGAAAGTTTTTTGTCTGATTTTATAATGTTGTTTGTATTTCTGTAGTGCCTGCAGTTCTTTTTGTTGGACCCATGCCATGTTTTTTCTGGGTACAGTACAAATGCATAAGAAAGGATATTACCATAGCTGAAAGGCCTTAATATCTAAATTCAGAGATTATGGGTGGAGATTGAGAGGAGAAGGAAAGAAAAGGCAGCTCAGAATAATAAACAGCAGACATATCAAGCTGTACTTGCCATCTTGTTCACCTAATAAAATTACTGAATAGCTATCTGTATGTCTAATGTACGTTCTATCTATACACTATGTGTCACATCACTATTCCTTATTCTAACAAACCCCAGTCCACAGCGAGGCAGAAATATTTTCTCCTCTTTAAAAGAAGCAGCCATTTCTATCTTGTTATACCTTTTAACCTGCCAGTAGAAGAACAGGAATGACTAAAAAGAAATGCTGTCTGTATATTGAAAATACATGGTTTACTTTAGAAAGACCTGGTAAAATACTGGTAGCATCCCAGCTATAGCACAATTCTGCAGTTTCTATTTGTTGTGCAATGAGCAATGAAGCTCTGCAGTAAGCGTATACAGATCCTTTTACCAATACTTAGTTCTTCAGAACTCCAAAATATTCTGTGTACAGCTAATGGAGCTTCTTAGGTGTTTTGACAATTATCAGGCCTAGCATAAAGGACACAGCCAGCATAAAGATGAACCAATAACCAAATTGTATTTGATACAAAAGGGTCAGCACATGGGTGAGTGCTGGGGGTACAAACAAGTCAGTCAGATTATACATAATCGACATCAATCCCAGTGACCCCAACAATGACACCGCACAACCAACAATGGGTGGAATAAATAGTGAAATGCAGTTTCCCATAGAAGGGACAGGAGACAACCAAGTCAACAAACCAAATACAGCAAGTGGTCCCAGCTTTTATCCCTCAGTGGGACACCTGACCTTTGTTTACTTAATGTGGGACACCTGGGGCTCATTTACCCAATGGCTCTCCCTGCAAGGCCGGCTGCACCCTGGAGGGAAGCCTAAAGGTAAACTCACCCCCCCTTTGTGAAGGGCTGTGGGAATCAACCATATGTCAACCTTAATTTGGGGCTTGGGGTTGAAACCCCAGCATTTCATTAGGTCATAGGTTCAATCAATAAATAGTAACATTTGTCTTTCACAAATGAGGAGAAAGCACACTCCTTTCCCAAAAATGTGTTACTTTAATTGCTTTTCTCCCTCTCTTTCTCCCCCTGACCCTTTACTTCATAGAACGGTTTGGGTTGGAAGGGGCCTTAAAGATCATCTAGTTCCAACCCTTCCACTAGACCAGGTTGCTCAAAGCCCTGTCAAGCTTGACTTTGAACACTTCCAGGGAGGGGGCAGCCAGTCTCTCTGGGCAACCTGTTCCAGTGTCTCACCACCCTCACAGGAAAGAATTTCTTCTTTATATCCGATTTAAATCTACCCTCTTTCAATTGAACACTGTTACCCCTTGTCCTATCCCTACACTCCCTGACAAAGAATCCCTCCCCATATTTCCTGGAGGCCCCCTTTAAATACTGGAAGGTCTCTGTAAAGTCTCCCTGGAGCCTTCTCCAGGCTAAACAACCCCAACTCTCTCAACCTGTCCTCATAAGGGAGGTGCTCCAGCCCCCTGATCATCTTCTGGTCCTCCTTTGGGCTTGCTCCAAGTCCATGTCCTCCTTATACTGGGGACCCCAGAGCTAAACACAGTACTCCAGGTGGGGTCTCATGAGAGTGGAGAGTTGTCAATGTATTCATTCTGTCGAAGACTTCTGGCCTCCAGTTGTGTCCTTCATTTACACTATAGCTGGATGAACAGACCAAATGCTGACATTATGCTACTTTCATACCTTTTGTTTCATTTTGCATACCTGTGTTGTATGTGATAGCTTTTACAAAGTTTCCCATATATATTAATCTTTTTTTTTTTTTCCTCTCTTTCTCCCCCACCCCCAAGTTGTTAGCCAAAATCTATAAAATGCCCTTGAAACCCATGTTCCTCAGTGGCCGGCTGATTAACTTGCCCCGAAGAGTGCAGGAACAGTCAGCCAGCAGTGAGGATGGTATTGAGTGCATCCTTTCTGACTTTGATGACGACACTGGTAAGTGTATTGATAGCAGTAAATGCAGAATGAATCAATTGCTTCTTCCACATGTCACTGTAAATTTTGCCAACTGCTGAAAGCAAAAAGGGAAGGGAAAAACTTCATAGTTTATTGTCTCCCTGTTGTCTATACACACACATACACACACAGTGCTTGGAAGTTCAGGTCACATCACCTTCTTTATGTTAAAAGATACTGTTCATATATGAGAAAAATACAACCCCTCTCTTGGGACAAGAAAATAATATTTTAATAATATTTTAATTATTCTGATACTCATAATACAACCAGTATATTTTTCTGAGAGCTAACACAAAAATACTTTCTAGACCATAGCTGAAGTAGATGAGTGAAAAATTTTAAGGCTGGTACTGGCAGGCTTGCCTTTAACAGAAAAAATATTGGTGTTGAGTTAGAGTTTAGAGATAAAGAATCTTGTTTAATTATGTTTCCAAAATAATGTCCTGTGGTCTCTTGAACTAAATGGTGTCTTTCTAAAGTCCATAAAAAGCTGTATGACCTCCAGAAAAACAGGCAGCATTTTTCTCCTGATTATTTGTGTGGCTTATGCGTTGTAGATTAATCAGGTGATTAATGAGCTAGATCTGTGTTGAAGCAAGTGGTAGAGGAATGAAGCCTTACTGCTTCAGGACTCATGTTGGCCCTTCGAAGCAGTACAGTCACTTTTGAATATCTGAACTACTGTGCTGTTCCAACCTGGGTGCCTCTGTGAAGAGCCAGCTCCAACCAGGCAGAAAGCAGGCTGACTCCAGTGCATTTCATTTGCGTGCCTCATCGGAATGACTCCTAGTCATACTTTTATCTGGGCTCTTCTGTCACGTGCATTGTCCTGTTCCACTGCAACCCTGGATAAAGGAGAGAAAAGCTGCTCTCTGAAAAAATCAAACCACAACTTCTGGTCTTTTTTAAAGAAAAACCCTTTTACTTTCTTCTTTATATGTTTGGTTCTTTATTTCCTCTCTGGAAACTTTAGGATGCTCAGCTGGGATGTGGGAGACCCAAGTCACTGAAGTCTCTGTTTTGAGTGAGGCTTGGGATTTGACCTAGGGTCTCCCCACCTCAGGTGAGCACCACTGGCCTACTGTGTTCTGAAGTGACTCTGCCTATCAGCGTCTTGCTTGCTGTGAATAGAAATGCCACCCAGCAGCAAAGAAAACACCTGATTTGGTTCTTGTCAGAGCTAATTGCTGAAACTTACACCAAATTTTTATTTAGCTAGTGCCAGTATTAGACCACTTCTAGGCAAACTGACTTTACAAACACAGAAGACAGTGCTTCACCTTTCTAGTGCTGAAAGCCAGTACCAAGATGGGGCAAAATGTTGTAGTCTGCTTGGCCATATGGTGGTGTAGTGTATTTGATTCCATGCCAAACTCTTCAAAAGGGTGTTTCTAGAAAATACTCAATTCTTCCCGATTTCAAGATAGCCAGATTTTGTGCTGAGTGATTTGTGTGTTTTCCTTACCTAGAAACACCATTGAAGTCTGTATAACTTCACACAATGTCACCGTATATACTACCCTGTGGAAGTGGTGTGAATAAATAATCAAACCAGTTACTAAGTAATGATTTCACTGTTTTCTCCTTGATTCTCCAGAAGGCTCTTGCAGTCAGCAAACTCAGTGCCTCTTAAATTAAGTTTTCTTGCAGCCTTTTTTATTGCTTTTGGAACATAATTAGCCAGCAGGCATCATGCAGACACAGACTATATCAGCATGGCTACCGGTAACAAAAAAGATGGGCTTATTAGTGAACCAAAGTAAAATCCATTTTAGCGTAATAAACCCATAGCTTTTTAAGGAGACTTAGCTCAAGACTAACTCTATATGTTGCAAGGATCGTAAAGACTGTAATATGCAAGATCCCTCTAGTCATTCACAATGTCATGGGGAACTAGCAAGTAATTAATGATCTGTGAAAAATTAAAGGTCAGCAATTCCTAACCATTTTCAAAATTGTATTGAAAAGTGGTTGTATCCTATAATCTTTTAGGGATATGTGTAGATATGAACTCACAGTACTACCTTTATCCTAAACTGCTGTTCTGGTAGTTGTCCAGCTCTGTTATATCCACATTTAATACTCTTCTATCAATGACCTCTTAACATCTAAAGATGATGTGAGGCAGCCTGTTGATACTTCATGAGGCATTATTACTGCTCAACCCTGGGTACCAAATAAAGCCAGTTAAATTATGGACAGTCACCTTAGGATTCTTACCTAAAAGCATAACCTAAATGAGTACAGTCCATTCTGAGTAGCATTTGCAATGGTAGTGAGATGTGTAAAATGTCCCATTAAAAAAATTAAAAACCCCACCAAGGTTAAAGAGACCAGACCAGTGGGAGTAGTAAACTGAGACAGAAGCCCAGAACAAAGTGTACGTGGAGGAGAAAGGAAGAGGCAAAACACAAACTTAATAAAAAGGGAAGGAAAAGGAGACCATAGTTTCAAAAATTGCTATTGCCCACAACCATTACCCAGGAACAGTGAACATGCAAGAACCCGTGAACTTTAAGTTAATTTCTTAGCCTGCATCACTTTCTGAGAGCAAGTTCCAGCTGTGGTCAGTGCAGTTTCTCGCTCATGGTTCTTAATCTTTGTTTCCTTACTTGTAGGCCTTATCAATGTCTGGATTATTCTGCTGGAAGAATTAACAACTGCTATATCCAACTGTCCCCGTCAGCACCAGCCTCCTACTTTGGATTTGCTCTTTGAATTGCTGAGGGATGTTGCCAAGACACCTGGTAATGAAAGAGTTGCTAAAATGTGAGCTAGTAGAGCCCTGACCCAAATCTCTTAGAATCCTAAACTACTTCTGTAAAGTGTGTTACTCATGCTAGAGCTGCACAGAGACATTCTCAATTAGAAAGGGATTTTCTTAGAGCATGATCTGCTGTTCCAGTTAGAGCATTGTTCTGTGTTGACAAAAGACATCTTGTAAGAGTATGTTGAAGTTACTTTTGTATTTATTGTACAAATAAAGAGGTGCAGTACTCTACTGATGTTCCTAGCCACAAAAAATGTTTGCCTGGTGTCTAGGAAATGGAAGAAGAAAATTATGTAGTCCTGTAGACCTTCTGGGAAAGACATCAGGTAAACAGTTGGTTAAATGTTCATATATTACCTCACAACTACATCCAAAACTGCTTACCCCTCTCATCCCACAAAAAGTGTTTCAGAACCTGCTTTCTTTAGCATCACCCCTGGCATCAAGCCTGGAACAACTTAGCAGATTTCATGTAGGCTTTGTAAGCCGAAATACACAACCATCATTGTGTTTATTTTAAGGACCAGGATTTGGCATTTATGCAGTTGTGCATCTTCTTCTGCCCACGATGTCTCTTTGGCTCCATCGCAGCCATGGTGACCATTCTTACTGGGATGTGGCATCTGCTAATTTCAAGCATGCCATTGGCCTTTCCTGTGAACTCGTAGTGGAGCACATTCAAAATTTCATACACTCAGGTATGTCATTGTACTGTCACATCTACTGAGTTATCAGTGGCAAGTTACTGAATAGCTACTTGGGGAGATGGTTTCATTTCTTTTTGGTTGCTCAAGCATAAAATAAGAGGAGGAAGTTGAAAATTTTTGTTTGTTTGAGGTTTTTTTCTTTCTTTGTAGGGTTTAGAATTACGGAAAAAATTAACTTGTAAAGGACCTATGGAAATTATTTAGTCCAGCCTCTCGCTCAGAGCAGGGCTATCTTCAAAATTAAATCATCACAGTCTATATTGTACTTGCCAAAAGAAGATACTAAGACTTTGATCATAAAGAACTAGAATATCAGAAACAGGTTCTAACAGAATTTCTCCAATACCACTTAAGTCCAGACATTTTATATTGTTAACATCAAAAGGATTGTTTTTATATCAGTTTGATGTGATGAGTGTTTCACAACTAACTCTACTGATAGCTGCATAAAAACAACTTGGTTTTGCAAAGTCTCTGAATAGCAGTAAGTGTAGCAAGACTGTTTGTTTAATTACAATGAAAAGGCAATGATGTTAAAACCATTTTGTGTCTTTTCCCTATAGATATTGGTTATGAAAATATGATCAATACCATGCTGAAAGATCTTTTCAAGTTGCTGGTAGCCTGTGTAGCAGAACCAACGGAAATTATTTCCAGAGTTGGCTGCTCTTGTATCAGGTAACACAGTCTGTTCACTCTCTTAGCATATTAAAAAAAAAAAATAAAAAAATGTCTATATCTTTGAAGAATTTGCAGACTGATTAAATTGGCTAGCATCTCAAAAAAAGTCTACAATATCTCTTGTTACTTGTATAATGAATTTTAGATTTACTAACCTTTTCTTGCTGTTTTTGGTCTGCTTCAGAACCTGTAATTTTAGGCATTACTATGTGTATGATTCCCATAAAATGTACTTGTATTTACTTACATGCAGTTAGTCAATAATTAATCCTTAGGAAAAATAATCAATGGTCTTTCTGTTGGAATTCACAGGTCTTTAGAGGTAATTAATACATTTCACAGTCTTCAGGTTACTACAGTCAGTCAAAATAAGCACTGCATTTTATAGTTACACAACATGTGGTTCTTGTGCTGGCAAGATGACTACTTAAAGAGGAAAAGCAAAGGGAAAAAAAAAAGTCAGAACTGCAGTGTAATTGCAAGAATAGGTCAGGGTAACAACTGAGGAGATTGGATGTCGTTAGCAGGCTACTGAGTAGGCCTTTTGTTCTGTTTTCAACCATCTCCCATTACAAGTAAGAATTGTCTAGTTCCTTCTTGAACATGGCAATGTTTTCCTGTGTTCTTGCAGGTATGTGTTAGTGACAGCAGGGCCTGTTTTTACCGAAGAGATGTGGAGGCTTGCATGTTGTGCCTTGCAGGATGCGTTCTCTGCCACTCTGGAGCCAGTAAAGGTAACCTGCCTTTTTGCTGACAAGTCAAAATACAATCACATTAGTTATAGGCTCACTCACTTTTGACAGATTGCTTTTTATTTTTCACAAAAGTTTTTGGGTACAGAGCCAGGAAAAAAAGTGTAAGGATTATGCGGTAGCTTTTGTTACCCTGTCAATTCACAATGAAAGGTGTTGGATCAGCAATGGAGATTGAAATAAATTTTTCTAAACATGTACAGGTAACACTAGTTGCTAACAGTCCAGACTTACTCTAAAGTGCTCTGCCAGTATGAAAACAGAAGTGTTAAATATAAAATCAAAAGTGTTAAATAGGTGAAAACTTACTTTTTTGATCCATTTCTTCCTCTGCATTGTCTAAAACCAGTCAAAAGACAAAGTTGTTTACTTGATCTCCTAGCTGCAAGCTCCATATAGATTATTTCTCAACTCACTATCTTTCCTGTAACAAAAAATCCTGTTAAGGATGAATACTTAAGAAGTTGTAATGCCTTTGCATCAGATACTTCAAATGCTAAACAGCAGGTGACCAGGTGATGGTAATGAGACAGATCACTTGTATTGCACACGAACAGGCTGGACAGCGCTGCAGTCACTGACTTCATTTAACGCACAGTGAAAGTCTGATGTTGTGTCTCTCTATAGAACCTGTTGGGCTATTTCCACAGTGGTTCTGAAAGCTTTAGTGGCGATGCCTGTGAAGTGAAGGTGGCAGCCCCCTCCCTCTCACCAAGTGCTGAAGCTGAATACTGGAGAATCAGAGCCATGGCACAACAGGTACTGACTGACATTTCAGGGGAAGTCAGAGAACCTTTTAAACTTGACAGTAAACCTCTACCACCACCTTTCTCACAAATCCTACAGGCAAAGACTTCCTCATCACCAGCCTAGCATTTTTTTGTCTAACAGTAGTATTAAGAAAAAGTAATAAAAAACTAGGAAAAACATCCTTAAAACTGTCCTACTTTAAGTAGGAATTAGGAATGCCTATGGTGGGGGAAGATGCATGGGTACCTGAGGAGGACTGACAATGAGCCTATTGTGTAATGCAGCTTATAAAATGGCAACCCTAGCATACATCAGTGGAAATGTTTCTGATGGAGAAAGGGAAATAGTAGTGTCACTGTGAATCCTCATCTAGAATGTCATCTATTTTTCTGATTACTCTGTTAAAAAATGATAAATCCAAAGGACAAAAAATGCACTAGAACAGAGACTGTGATATGAAACTAGAAAACCAAGATTTGTGCAACCTATTGAAGCAGAGTGTGAAGAGGAATGCAGGTTTTTTTTTTTCTCTGTAAATACCTGGGTATAGATTGCAGAGAAGAAAGAGTTCCAGAGAACTGGAGGATAAGGCTGACACTTAACAAATGATTTAAAACCTAACTCCTAATCAGCAGAGCAGGCTTGGAGACAACCTTCTCAGGCTCCTTTTGAGTACAATGGTTATTGTTCATTTTATGGAAGTGGTTATATGAAACAAGTTCCTTGAAATACAGCACACTGAAGTTAATGACCTGCAGGGTATGATAAAACTGTAAATACTGTGTGACAGTTTCAGCATGGGAAAGCAGCTGGATTAAAAGAGCCAACAGATGTTTGGTGTCAATTTCTGGCTTGATTAATCATACCCTGATACTGCTTGAAAATCTGAGATACACAGACCAGGATTTGTGATCACAAATAATGTGGCAGTAGCAGACTTTGTTTGAATGGAAAAAATGTTTTAAATTAAGTTTTAAAGATGCAGAACTCAAGAAAGCAAGGAATGTTGCATTTATACTTTTGTTGTAGACACTATCAGTGGCACTCCCCAAGTACTTCTCAGCAGGGATTTGGCACAACTACTAAGATACAAACCAGTTACAGCAACTGAGAGGCATTTCCCCATCTACCACCCAAAAGATTGCAAGTTAGGTTTTTGTATCTTCATGGCTGAAAGTAATCCTTCCAATAACCAACCTTTCTAGGTGCAACAGGCTAACTATGCAAACCAAGTCCTTGAATCCACTATACATATTTTCTGATAGTAGTATACAGACAGCAGAAAGCTTGTTTTGGCGTTTGGTATTATGCCTTATACAAGTTCAAAGAAAAAGATGTCTGTCTTTTGCCCTGTGCTCTGCTGAGTGTCTGAAGGTAGCCCATGGCTCTGAGGCTGTTTTAGCAAAGCAGCATGCTCCAGGGAAGTTCTGCCTGTGGGGGATACCTTTCATTCTCTCCATCACTATAAAATAAGTCATCATAACAGATCTTTCACAATGCAGGAAATCCTATTTTCAGCGCCCCCCCCCGAGACCCAGTGCAAGTGCTAAACTGATTGTTTTATGTAACTTGTTGTTTTCTAGGTCTTCATGCTGGAGACTCAGTGCTCCCCAAAGACCCCTAGCAACAAGGAAGGGTTTGAACATGCTCAGTCGTGCGTGCTTGTTATTGACCTGCCACCAGATAAGAAACCAAATGGGCATACCCAGAGAAGGTAAAATATCTTCTGAGGAAAATGCTGTGTCATTAAAAGCGAGATAAAAATATTGTCAGTCTGGCAGAGATGTGAACTGAACCTGGCAAACCATGCCTCTCCATAAGTCTCATCAAAAAGATGAAATACATACAAATTAGGGTTTGTGACACAGGAGACAACAGGTTACTGCTGTCTGCTCTCCACATGTTCCCATGGTCATACACTGGTGGGCAGGCACGTGCAAGAGCTGTTACAGTTATAGACAAGCCTGAGTCAGGGTCTGTAATGTGTCACTTAGAAAGCTAAATAAGGAAAATGTTTCTGATAGTAAAAATTGGTAGGTTACAAATACCTGAAGGATACATAAGGTCACACAAAGCCTTCAGAGGAAATGCAGATTAAGTTAAGAAAAGAATTCCCATAGAAAATACTAGGAAAATCTTTCCAATATTTGAGATGCTTTTCTTTAAGAAGTATAGTTATAAGTACCAGTTTGAAGAAAGCTTTGGGAGTACTGTTATGTTTGTAATGATACCTAGCAAATGAAATAATGTTTGCTTCTCTAATGGTCTTTTAAATTCAGTATTACTGGATTAAGATGATAGAAGTAGTTAATGGATAAACTGGAGTGGCATAAATTGAAGAGACCACATCCAAAGCTGCGAAACTCTAAGCATATTGATCTAGGGAACGTTGTTTTTGCTTGGCACTTTATTTTTATGGAAGCCTTTCTATATATTACCACCTCAGAAACTCATGCATTTGCATGACAATCTGATCTTGTCAAAGAATATTTCTTTTTGCTTGCACTCAGTTGTTTAAACAACTGCTGTAACATCAATAGGGCCAAGACTTAGAATTCTGCATTCAGGCTTTGTGTTTGTATTGCAAGGTGTGTAATACATGGCATGAAATTGTCTTTTACTAGATACCAAACCTGCTTCTGTACCACTTCAGGTGTTCTCATTCAAAACTAAACTGTTGCTTGCAACAAGGAGCCAGAATGTGATGGTCCTTCTTTGGATGGACAGGAAGAAAGACCATGCAAGATGTCTCTGTTCTTACACGGCTGTACAGATGTTTCCCCCAAGAGGAGGTGCTCTGTTGCCTCGCCTACAGAGACCAGGGCCCTGCACAAAGATGAAGAAAGGTTGAGATCACAGTCTTAAACCCTTCCTTCATGGTGGGAAAATATCTGCTTTAGCCAAAGATTTCTTCTTGTTATAATGAATGCAAAACAAGAGACTGGAGTACTCCCCTCTCATGGTACATAAGACCATGCTGTCTAACAAGCTGCGTTCATAAAGGTAGCATGGGTCTTGCTGATCTTTAAACAAATAAATAAATAAAGCTTGCAATTAATACAAACTCTGAATGCTCTCACCCTGCGCTTTGTCTAAACAACTGCAAAAAGTGTATATGCTGATAGGCAAATGTTACCCCAGCAATGCTCATTTTTCACCAAAACAGGGCTCAAAAGTTGACTGTGCCACTGTTTTTCATATTATTTGCTACAGCAGTGCAGTAATATGCCAGGCTTGCATGCTAGTAACTGTGGCCTTTCAAAAGTTTTACTTTAACCTTAGTGAGGTTTCTCTTCTCCCTTTTTGCTTTTGTTTCCTTAATGCTGCATCGTTTCACAGGAAGCTGGGGTAAGGGAGCTTTTCTTCTTCCTAAAAAGTAGTAATATATTTCAGTTTGAAACTTTGGGCAGAATAAGAAAATACTATCCTTAACCAGCTTTGGCACTGTGTGTTTCTACCTATAGTTCTGTACTAATTTCTTTTGGAATTGAACAGTACTTTAAACTGTCCTTGCAAATTGCCTTTTTTTGGCAATTACAAGGAAAGCAGATCTCCTTCATTCTGATCCTGCTTTTGGAACAGGATTAGTCTCTTTAAATCAATGCCAGCACTCATTTAACTTTATACATGCTCTTAAGAGCTTTTCTGAGTCAGAGCCTCTAATGGTTTTTACAGCAGAAAACTACTTCCCCATAAAGAGCTCCAATGTATGTATTAATCACCAAGATTTTAGCACTGTCAGATAGTAAGACTACTGAATTTTACTGTTGTGTCAGCACTGACAGCCGTGTCATGGTAAGCAAACTGACATAGGTAAATTAACCCAAGAAGCACACTTTTGTCTGACTTTTTTTTTTTTTTTTAAATGCTGCATTCTCAAAACTGAGTTTTGATACAATTTCTCAAAAAAAAAAAAATAAATTCTTGTTTTGGTATGTTGAAAACACTTTTGAAAGTTGTTTAATGAAAGTAGAATAATTTTTGCAACAAAAAATTAAAGGTCTACAACTGAACATTTGATGTTACATGAAGATTTCCTTTGACTTCGACCTAAAAATTTAGTATTGCAAGCAAACTGAAAAATCTCTTCCTCACTTGATAGCTGTGCTAATTAAAATACAACCCATCATAGTTCCCTAAATCAAAACCCATATGTCTATCAGAGCATCAGCTCCAGTTAAAACATCACCACTGTAATCTTATGCAAAGACTTTTAAAAAAATTCCTTAAGATAGGTTTCACAGTTTATAAATCCATGAGATACCAAACAACAGTCCTGTTCACCCTTTCTTCCTGGCCTCCCTTGCCTGCAAGCCTCTCAATGTTATTTACTGGTGAATGACCTGAAAACTTTGGTTGGAGGAATTTGCCATTCATGGGTTCCTTGTGCAAATCAAAAAACAGTGAGATCTAGAATGACTCACAGCATCTCCCTAACAGGAGTACATCTAAGAATCACCCAGTATCATATGTGGGAAACAGGGTTAGAAATACATATTTCCATGCTAAGCTCTCAGTATTCAAGTTGAAGTCTTAAGAGCAAACAGATAAATGCGCTTTCATCAAGACTTAACCTTCTTTGCATGCTCCATTGCGCTGCTGATGTTTCTGTAGATTTTTTTTATTGGTTGGTTGGCTCTTTGTGGTTTATTTTTAAGTACTACTCCTGGCATTAGCAGAAATGGAAGCTGAGTAGTAAACTAGTTTTCACCTCAGTTTGTCATGGGAAAGTTAAGGTTGGCTGAAATGCTGGTGGAGGAATTTCCAGGTTATTTCAACTTAGCCAAAGTTCAGCAACGAAAATAGAAAATGCAGTCAGAGACCAATGGCAGAAGTGCTGCATAGCTTGTGTATTAACAAATTCCTCAGTTACAGCAGGCTGAATTTTTGAGAGTAGTTGCAGCTGCTGTGAAATTGAAACACAGAGTATTTAATCCCTCAGTGTCAGACATCTCTAGAGAAAAGAACAAAAATTACAATAGATCTTTGTTTTAATTCCACTTCTGCACAAGTGCCATTAGTGTGCTTGCTGTGGACAGTTATTTTTCTTAACCAATGTAAGTGTCTTCCCTTCTAGGAAAGTATTAGAAAGAGTAGCTGAAAGACCATTCCAGACAACTTTATCTTCCTTCACTTTTTTGTAACAAGGCTATGAAAATTTGGCCTTTCGTTTGCATCTTTCATGTTAGTGTTCCCATACTTCTAGTAAAAGCACAATGTACCATTTTAATTTGATTTTCTTTTCTTCCTTCCCATGCTTGGTTTACCAAGTATTCCTTTCAGGACGATAGTGGTGAGCTTGCTGTCCCACCAAGTATTGCTCCAGAATTTATATGACATCTTACTGGAAGAATTTGTGAAAGGCCCTTCTAACTTGGAGGAGAAAATGACAATACAAGTACCAGAAAACAGGTTAGCTGGTTTTCTTAGGTACATCTCCATGCAAAACCTGGCTGTCATCTTTGACTTACTGCTGGACTCCTATCGAACAGCCAGAGAGTTTGACACCAGACCTGGATTGAAGTGTTTGCTGAAAAAAGTGTCTGGCATTAGTGGAGCTGCCAACTTGTATCGCCAGTCAGCAATGAGCTTCAACATCTACTTTCACGCTTTGATTTGTGCAATCCTGACAAATCAGGAGAACATCACTGCAGAGCAAGTGAAAAAGATCCTCTTTGAAGATGATGAGAGAAGCACAGACTCATCACAGCAGTGTTCTTCAGAAGATGAAGACATTTTTGAAGAAACTGCCCAGGTCAGTCCCCCACGAGGGAAGGAGAAGAGACAGTGGAGGGCTCGAATACCATCTTTGAGTGTTCAGCCCATCAGCAATGCAGACTGGGGATGGCTAATCAAGCGGCTTCATAAGCTCTGTATGGAACTGTGCAACAACTATATCCAGATGCATCTGGACCTGGAGAATAATATAGAGGAGCCTCCAGTGTTCAAAGGTGACCCTTTCTTCATTTTACCATCCTTTCACTCAGAAACCTCCACCCCATCAACTGGAGGGCAATCTGGGAAGGACACACCATCAGAAGATGACCGGAGTCAAATCAGGGACCAACTGGGAGAGAGCCTGACACCCCGAGGAGGGAGTGGAGAAATGTTGCTGCTACCCCCACCCCTAAGTCCTAAACCAGAGAAAAAAGAGCAAACCAGGAAAAAAGAATGGTGGGAGAGTGCTGGCAACAAGATCTACACCATAGCCACTGACAAAACTATCTCCAAGCTAATGACAGAGTACAAGAAAAGAAAGCAGCAACAGGCCATGACATCCTTCACCAAAGAGGTCAAAGTGGAAAAAAAAGGGGAGCTCCTGGGTTCAAGAGGGCCAGACTCACCCATACTCCAGCGGCCACAACATCTTATAGATCAAGGTCAAATGAGGCATTCATTTAGTGCTGGGCCAGAGATCCTGAGACAAGAGAAGAGACCGCGCTCAGGATCCACAGTCAGCTCCCTGAATATATCTGTTAGGGATGCTGAGGCCCAGATACAGGTAGGACATATCTGTAGCATGCTAATAATAATAATAACAATAATTAAATATATTCATTACATGAAGAAGTCATCATGATGAGGACCAATATTTCAGCATTTGGCACTGATAAAAACCTGATTCTGTCCTATCAAAAGAAAATCAGTCTTCAGGAAGGTGTTTCAGGCATATGCTAGTACAGCTTTCAAGAGTGCCTCTGTGACTGGGGCCAAAGCTGCACTTAGTCCTACGAACTAACAGCTTACAGTCATTGCTTATTGCTAAGGGCTCTAGCCCACTTAAGGCTTTTGAAAATGTCATGCTGCTTATCACAATGCTTTTGTGCTTAAGAAGGTTTTTTGGTTAATTCCTCAGCAGAAATAGTGGGCTCTGTTGCTAAACAGAAACTTGCTGCTTGCATGTCCAAATGAATAAAGTGATCAGACTTGAAAGTCTTTGTTCACTGTGGGATGCAATAAATAGTGGCGAAGAGTGAGCATGATACCTGCAATACAAAGTCAAACAATGACTTACAGTACTGAACATGAATTAGGAAGACACAGTGAACATTAAATGCATATGCTGACATTACTCAGTCCTCTTTATGAGGCTGCAACCACCATATACTTTATCTTCTGCCTCAACCAATGGGCTCATCTATTTAGAAAGGTCCTCTAAAGAGTCTTTTTTTGTTTCCAATTTGTAGGCATGGACCAACATGGTGCTGACAGTTCTCAACCAGATTCAGGCCCTACCAGACCAAACTTTCACAGCCCTGCAGCCAGCAGTGTTCCCCTGTATCAGCCAGCTGACTTGCCACGTGACAGATATCCGTGTCCGCCAGGCAGTACGAGAATGGCTGGGAAGAGTGGGCCGAGTTTACGATATCATCATTTAAACCTAGATGTGCTGTGTTGCAAAGGGGAGAAGACATCCAAGGTATACAGCAAAGAAGTATTTGGGGTTCATTAATTGCCTGTTTGTTGGTGATAAATTAAGAAACAATGAGCTTGTCGATGTATACCCCTATTCACTTAAAACTGTCCCTCACTCACACTAGCAAAGGAGGCAAAGCATGAGTGTGTCCAGGGGGGTCTGGAATGGTCCCAGAACCCAGAAACTGCCAGTAAATCCAGCTGATACTTCATTTTAATTCAAATTTGCAACAGCGGGAGCCACGATAAACTGCATCAAGAACTTCCTTCCACACTTGCAATTAGCTGTGAACACAACTGTCATCTGAATGTCAAACTGGGCCAGTAAGCCTATGTAACTTTAAAAAAAAAAAAAAAAAAATAAGCAGGAAAAAGGTGGGGCTAAAGTAAAAAGGTGACATTGTTTAGGGTAACTTTTTTGCCTTCTGAAATTAGCATGAGAGAGGAAAGCCAAATAAAGATTATTGTAGTTACTATATGCCTCACTCACTAGAGAAAGTGGAGATTTATTTTGCCCTGAGAAGAGCCTTTGAAGTCTGGTCACCTTTGGAGTAGCTAATAAGTGACTATTAAAATATCACAGGTCTAAAACTGGAAACAAGCACAGACTATTCATCCTTTCATTGCTCTTGTGGAGTATTGCTTGAAGAGAAATGGCACTGTCAAGCTGCCCTCTCTACAAAGCTACCCTGACTGCCTCTTCAGCTATGCCTACCCCTGACATTTTTCCACATGTCTAATTCCCCCTAAGGGCAACAGGGACGTTTGTTTCGCTGGTTTTTGTGAAGCTGAGGGAAAGACAGACCACAGAGCAAATACCAGCATGTGCCAATATCCAGCATTCAACTAAGAGTAGAGATAAAGTGTTCCAGTTTAAGCAACACTGCAGCTAAGTTAGCTTATACTTCTACTGGAAATTTATGTTTGCTTATATAGAGCTGCTGTAGCCAGGAACACCCTTACCACCTTTGTTAAACTTAGCCTATCACTCCACATTGAGCTGAATCAAGATGGAAAATAGTTTGATAGGAAGGTATCTTTTCTGTTTCTCTCCCACTTCTTGTCTGCTACTGTAAATAGAAGGGGACAGATCCTCATGGACCAACACCCTCGTCTATGTAGCACTCCTATAGAACTACTAAAATTTGTTGATATTATGAAGGGGAAGGATTCACTATTGTGTTGTCAAATACATGTATGATGCTCTTCACAGTAGACACAGCAAAGGGTTACCTTGCTGCACAAGTTATGTCACAGCCCCTGGGACATGCCATCTTGTACTCCCATACTACATGATTTGTTGATTAGAAGTTAAAATAATTTGTTAAAAATAAATCGATTTAAATCTTGGGTGACCCCTCAATTATATTCTCCCAAGGCTTTTAAAATGTGCATACCAACTAAATATACAGCTTCAGTCCCTGCTCTAAAGCCTCCTCAAAATGACATTTCTTTATATCAAGTCCAGATTTTGCATAACTAACCTAGAAAAACTGAGGGAACCAAGAAGCTCCATTGAACAGCCATCACCCAAGCTGATGTGGGTTTTTTTATGAAGTCTGCCACTATCCTCCTGCTTTTTCCTTCTATTGCCCACTTCCCACTTCTCACCCGCTAGACTTGTGCAGGGAATATTTGTCTCATACCTTTCTGTAGTGTCAGTCACACTGTTTCCCTTTCTTTCAAAACTTCCCTTGGCTAAACTGTTTCAAGGATATAAAAATTCCATTAAAACTACTCTTCCTTACCACCTACATTGACTTTATAAATGAGTAATTTAACAATTTTATCAATTGCCAGTTTTCCCCCAGCAGTTTTAGTACTTCCTTAGGGAGGGGTGAGATTAGCCCTCGGTATATGGGAGAGTAGTGACATGGTTTGATTTCTGTTGCCATGTCTTTCTTACACATCTTTAGGTAGAGTAAAAGGGTGGTTATACTATTCATTAATGTTTTTATTGGACATCTATACAGAACTGCTTTTAAAGCAGTACATTAATTAGCAAAAGAAATGAGAATAAATAAACTATGCAAAACACCCAACTGCTGTTTTTCATTACACATGCATTGAATAGATGCAGATCCTTGCTGTACTAATCTAAAACTAAAGCAAATCCCTAAATTATATTGGAGAAGCAAAACTAGCATCCAGAAGAGGGTCTACTATTGGTGGTTTTGTGTTGTGGTTACAATACAATATCCTTCTGTAAAACAGAAATAAAAACTGTAGGAGTGACAATACCGTCACCCCCACTCCCCTCTCAAGCCCATGAACACATTTGATTAGCCACCATCTTGACCCAAAATATAATTTCATTTCAACTTTTTACACTACAGGTTCTATACTGGAAATGAGTAGAAAGTAAATTTGCTGTATTGCTGTTGCCCTGTTTTAAACTTTGCCCTCCAAATTTATGCACTAAGTGCCCATTGTCACCCTCAGTGCCTCTGCTCATTAACACCCCTCCATAAGAGGTCTTGAGTAACTTTGAGTAATTCCAGAAATGTCATTTAAGAGGATGGAGGTGAGGATGAAGGAATCTTTGAAGCAGCAGGCTTTACATAAGCAAAATTTAGCATGTGCTGCTCTTCCTTTTCCTTGTGTGTAAATAAGCAGGTGAGGAGAGCAGCCTGTGTCCATTTCGGGAACTATTAATCTGAGATGTAAATGCTTTCTGATGCACCTCCAAAATATAAATGAATAAAAAATTGAATTAGTTCATTAGTTTCACAGCTTTTCTTTTTTTTCTTTTTTTAGCCATAGACATTAGCAAGCCCAAAGAAGTACAGCACTAAACATGTGAAGTCACCATTTCATAGACCTGTGCAACCTGTTTCATGCATACTCTGGGTTTAAGGCTGCCAGCGTAAATTCAGGCCTCACAAAGGAAGCTTTTAGCCCAAAGGAACAGTTGCAGGGAAAGTGTACTGGCACCAGCCTGTCCTAAGCTTCAGAAGGGGACTCCCCAACTCTGAACACCCCAATCATGTTCAGCTGTACCATGCTATAGTGGCTTTTCTGCTTTCCACTTGTGAGGGGGGAAGCACCTCAGTCAGTAGCACAAAGTAGCCCTTGTATCCACACATGTAAGTCTTTCTGACATAAACCATTCAAATCCTTACTTACAGCCCCATGACATAATGCATGAGCTAACAGCAGCATATTACCAGCTTTACTTTTGAATCAGAGCATTTGAGCCTTGAAAAAACAGAGTCTGTGTATTATAGCCTGAGCTTACTCTTACTTTTTGCTCTGTTTAATGACCACATTCTTCTCTTTTCTTGCATTTACTTTCTTGTCCCATGAATTTCTATAGAGTTTTTTAAAATTACTTGCCAGTAATTTTTATTTAACTGGACTGCTTAAAAAAAAAAAAAAAAGGTGGGTGTGGTGATATGACATCCTTCTCAAGTACAGAGTGGCACCTCTGCTGCCTTTGCCTAGTTCATACCTCCCACCTCAGGGCCACCACAGCAATCAGAGGCAACGACATCACATTTTAAAATCTTTAGGCAGCCACTCACAGAGAAAGTTGCTGTTGGCCAGCATCACCTACCTTTATGCACATGGAATAACTCATCACTGTGCAAATATTTAAAGCTGAAAAAAGCATCAAGCAGGAAAGTGCTACTTTTCTTGTATAACAGAAGCAGGGTTTGACCCCAACTGGTCTCAGGCCATTGCATATGTTTGCACTTTATTCTGTAGTGTGATTATATGTGGATGTATGAAACAGTTGAGACATATATGCAGATATATGAGACAGTTGAAACAGATACATGAGACAGCAGCCATGGAATTACCACCACTATCTCTTGATGAGCATGCTTTCATATCTTTAAGATGTTAAGATACAGATTTAATACTCTCCTAGGGATAAACACGCATGTGAGAATAACTGACTTACTTAATTTGGCATCTAGAAGGAATTATTAGTGAAAGATTTACATAGACCTGGGCAAAACCTTTCTTGTAAAACTCCAAGCACAGGCAACACAGCTTTTGCCTCATTACAGATTAAAAATTCCCATCAAGGCCAGAGTTGACACTCATGACTTGTAAGGCACTTTGCCTTTCAATTTGAGCTTCAAGTTTTGTTTAAAACCTAAATCTTAGTGTAAAATTCACTGACAAATCCTCACATGCCAAAGATGCATCCCCCACCTCTAAACACCTTGTGTTACTACTGTATGTGATCTCCACCTGCACTTGATATAGTAGCATCTCAGTGTTGGTATCTCCACTGCAGAGCGTGATGCAGCACCAGTATGAAACTGAGTGGCAAATGAGTTAGCAAGTAGAGAGGTCCAGCTCTGTGTGCTGCCTGCCCTTCGTACCTCTCGTCACAGCTTTGGCCCACCCTCAGAGTGCCTAAGCTGTTGAAATCACCACAAGTTACATACCTGGATATCTTTAATACTCAGGACTCGGTCCTTGAATCCTTTAGTCCCTACATACAAGGTCACAAGTTCTCAGGAAAGGGGAAGTGCTGTACAGTTCCTGATGTCACCCTCTCTGCTGCTGTCCTCTGTACACCTCCTGCTTGAAAAATTCACAAGACCTGGCACATATTCCCATGCATCCCAGCACCCCACAACTAGAACTTTCACTTTTGCACAGATCCAGTTTTAGCATATAGGGGGCTGACCATGGCAAGCCGAAGTAATTTATTTCTACATTGCTCATTTGTGTAGAAGCTTATTCAGAAACTGAGCAGGTGGTTTAGCTATTTTTACCTTCAGCAATCCATTCTAGAAATGCCATTACTCAGTGATGACTTAATTTTAATTCACTAAAAAAGTGCATGCTTTCCTTGCCCTTGCTTTTGTGGGCATGTGCTAAGATTATGATTAATCAAGATATTTACTCATTACTCCAGTTGTAGTAATTTCTGTGAAGATCTGTGTACAGTATTAATCATGGTATATGACACGAAACACAGATTTTTTTCAATTTCTGATCATTCCACAATTGTTTGAAGAAATAATGCAATACCGTCAATTTAAAATAAAATAGTTTCTCTTCTTTTTTTAGTATAAAAGGACCAAGTTCCCATAGCACAGAAGCACAAATGTGGGATTTTATGCAATGTAGATAACAGCATTTGGCAGCTAGAGATCCCTTTTCACCGAATCTCCCTATTTTGAGTAGAGTTTCTATAGGGAAACGACCTAAGGGTCTCTTAGCAACTCTCACCAGCAACACACCTGGGACTCCAGGAAGTTGTACAGATGTGAGGAAGAAGTCGTAGCTCCTCTTCCTGTTGTTTCCACTAATTGCCCTCAGAGCATATACTTTATATGTGATGCTAACTATATGATATCATACTAAATAAACAGCTTTGGCCAAACATGGAGTGCTGGCTATTTAAAAAGAAAAAACAAAAAAGCATAGTCTAAGCATACACCAGTCTTTTCACTTAGTGCTCAGAGGTCTCTAATCTAAAAAGTAAAAGCAGAGGGAAGAAGAAATGGCCTAATTCTGTGGGTATCAGTGGAGCTATACTGTATGAGCCTGGATTAATGCAATAATGAGCTTCCCTATGGGACCAAATCCCTCAAATTCTCTTTATTTTTGGCAAATTCATAAGATGAAGTTTGAATAGTCTCCACTGCCACATTGAATCAGGGAACTGAATTTATGGAAGGCATTTTTTTGTTAAGAAACATGGCAACAGGATCTATTTCAATCCTTTTACCCCAACATCCCACTTTTCAAAAGGTGGTTATGTACTTCCATAAATGTCATCTAAATACCATGGGAGCACCAGGGTCCATGCATTTGGTTCTTCTGGGCTGCAGTGACATGCCACACTTCCACAGGAAGCAAGCTGAAATGAGGGAGCTGAGCTGGCGGAGAGGCACAGGTATACAGGCTCAAGCAAGGAACAAATATCTTCCCTACAAGCAGGCTGTGGCTCCTGAGCCCCCTGCTCTGCAGAGGAAAGCAGGATTCAGTACCAAAGGGAGAAGAGCCAGGAAAGGCAGAGCATGGTGGTGACAAAGCCCTGTACTGCACAGTTTGCGAGAGCAGACGGGAGCAAGACATTGAAAAGTATGCAATGACAGCAGCAAGCACTTTCTTTCAGTTCCCCTCACTTTCTCTTGCCATCCCCTCTTTTTGTCATGATTTGTGAGACTGCAAACATACTTCTGTGGGCCCTTCAACCAGAACTGAAAACTGAAAGCAAGCCAAAGGGAGTGGACACTCCATTTTGCCAAAGATGTAAGCCTTTCCTGTTCCAGTATTAAAAAATCAAATTTTATTTCCATGATGATGGCTGCCATAGGAAGTATTTTACCACAAAACATGATTCCCAGGACTTCATCTCTCTAGCTGTATATTCAGGAGGAGCCACTCACACTTTCTAAGAGAGACTGTAAATTGCCTTGTCAAGCAAGTGCTAATTACATTGGGTTTACCTTCTACTGAGTTCATATCTAGCTGCAGTTCCCCGGTCTCATCCATGTTTCCTCCCTCTACCTTTCTGCTCTTCTTTAGAAAAACATCCCCGTGTCTGCCGTGTCCTGTTGTGCTGCTAGCTTTGTTTGGTCCTCGGGTGTCCAGTGGTCAGGCAGTCACTGTCAGCTGGCTTGCAAATTGTATTTTGTGTATATTTTATTCTGACTGAATTCTGAAATGGAAATATTTTAAAACAAAAATTATAAACTATTTATGTTGCTTGTGTTGTAGAATAAAGAAGCAAATGCAAAATAAATTATGCTTTGGTTTCGTCTAAAGAAAGTTATTTTACAGTTACTGATGAGGCAAAGGAGCAGAACTGAGAAAGGGCCTGAAATACGTGGTACATACCAGCAGGAACTGCAGTTTTCACAGATGACCTGGGAATTTAGGCACTTTTGAACTGCTGGGGGTTTTTTTGGTGGGAGCTGAGATTTAAACACTTTAACAAATGAGCCCTACACCACTCCTAGCCTGAGCTGGGATTGCAGAGGTGGAGAAGGATGAAGCTACTGAGACAGCTAAAGGTGCAAGTAGCCACTATGCAGAACTTTGAAGCATCTAAACAGGTGAAACATTTCTCTGTCCATTAAAATGAGGAAAATACTTCTGGCTTTGATTCCATTAGTTACAGACTTAAAAAACAAACAAAAAAACCCCTACACAAACATGTCAGAAAAGGCACCTACTTCCAATCACATAAATAGCTTTGAAAACTGTCCTAAGGTTTTAGGGATTGAACTCTACATACTCTGTCACACACTGAAGTAACTGATTTACTGCCACTGAAATCCTGACACCACCACCCCAGCCCCCAACATGAAAACCACTGCTTGTAAACACCGCCAGGGTCAGGCAGCCGTCACAGGACAAGGTTCCTTGGAGCCCCAGTTCACAGCCAGACTTTTACTGGGTTTTTAAGCTGGGCATTCCCCAAGCATTCTCAGGTTAGCTAGCACTCAAAATGGGTTCCCAAGCTACAGGTATGTGCAAGCAGCATGGATGCTCCAGTGTTTCATCCCTCTCAAAAGTTCGGCAAGGGCTCTCCCCTGTCGCCTAAATCCTTCTTTTGATTAAAGTTGGATCAATGATCACTCCGGGTGGAGAAAAATATTTAATGGAAATATTTAATGAAAACAATGAACACCTTCACAGCTTCCATATGCAATAAAAATTTAGGTACAGAAGAAGAAAGTGTTGACTAGTACCCTTCAAGAGAATTGCCATGGGGGTTCCTGAAAGCAGGAGTGTTTCAGCAACGAGACATAGCAGCATACAGTAACCTTTAGGGTACACCTCTGTGTGCTCAGGGATGCTATTCACAGCCCAAAGACAAGCTTTCCACATCATCTCATGAGTGAAAATGCAGCTAGCTTTCCCACCTGGCCTCCCAGGGATCACTGGGCTTGGGATCCCATGCACTGGAGCAACGCAAGGCCTGGCCTTCAGTGTCTGTTACACAACAGCCTCATCAGCATGAAGGTTAAGAGCAGATTACAAAGCCACTAAATGAGGTTGTGATGCTTTAATAATCTTACAACACTTCTGGCAAAACAGAGTGTGTTAAATCCCAACAGTCGGATCTAATTCCATCCCAGGAAACTACCTTCTGCTGCTCCACACATCTCATCTAGATCCCATTAGAAAGATTTTCATTTCCTCCTAAACAGTGTTCAATGATGTAAAACAGCAACTGGGTAAATACAGAAAGTACTGCTCCACTATTTCACTCACTCCTTACATGTACAAATTCCTTACATGTACAAATTCTTCTCACTTAATGGGGGAGTCAGGCTTCTGGTGTCACCAGTGTGAGACGAAGAGGTCAACACACAGTGGAGGTGGTCAACTTCCTTTGTAGTTATAGAGAAGACACCTGGGCTTCTTGCTTTGTTGAAGAACAAAGTGTTAAGAACACTCACCAAAGAAAACAGTTGTGAGCAAATATTAATAAATAAATAAATAAAGGGATGAACAGCCACACTATTAAATCTCAAGCATTGTCTTTCGTTCAGTGGAGTCACTGAATTCGTATGCCAAATTCCAGAACAGGTTGCAGGAAAGGCAGTGCCCATTTAATGCATTGCTTTGTAAACAAAATTGAACAGATTGCTTTTGGTTTTGTTAATTGACCAGTGATGAAAACTTCCCATAGAAGTTGTTACCAAACATATTTATCAGAAGAAAGTGATCAGGGTTCAGTTTTGAAAGGCTGACTTTTAGGTCCACGATGGTCAGCTCTCTCAGCTCCCTCTAGAGCCTACCACAGGTCAGACCCCCAAGGGGCTCAGAGGTGGAACAGCACCCACCAAACCACATGCTCTCTCCCCAGCTTTGGTATAGGTCTTTCTCTGCCATCACAAGTACCAAAGATTGGTGCATGGACATCAAGTCACCCCAGTCTCCCTCCATGATAAACATTTATTTATTACAAATAGGATCTCAAAACTGATGTTTTTTCACAGTGTAGGTTTATCACAGTGCGGGCTACACTGTATTAATCTGTGGTCAACTAAAAATTAAAAGCTCCCTAGATACCAAGCTGGTATTTTTCCTAATTGTTATTTTTTGACAATGTGCCAAGAGAGCATCCAGTGTCACCACTACCATTTTACATGTGGGATCAACAACTGAGCAAGTAAAAAATATGTCCGTTACCTCAAAAGGGCCCAAAGTATCTACACCACATGCTCTGGCCACGTGCCTTTGCCGGAGCTGTAAACCTGTAGGATAATTTGGCAAGAGGGAGAGGGAAAAAAAAACAAACAAACCCCAACACAAGAGCAAAGGCAGTTAATGGGAGGGATAATAGAAAGGCACACTAGAGATATTAGCAGATACTTCACGTACAAGATTAAAGAGAGAGGAAATGCACTTTGAATGCAACAGTTAACACACGATAGGATTGCATAGGAGACCACTGGTACATCTGTACACCCAGTCAGAAAGTACCTCCATGGTAGTAACGGGAAAATATTTTCAGTAATCCTGCTGGATCTCGCCAGGACAGACGTTTTCTAATCCATGTTTTAGTGATGGAGAAACTTGTCTTTTGGTGCACTAAATGAGCCTGTGACAGAAGTCGAAATGAGAAATAGAACCAGGCTTAGGTTCTGTCTGCTGAGCCGTGTGAATCACGGGGTGATCTCCAATTTCTGAGCTTTTGGCAAAGAAGCCGGCATCAGGATAAACCTCTTCACATCTAATATCACCATAAACACAAGTTGAACTCTTTATCCAAAGCCTGACACAGGCTAGAATAGTGCACTCAGCATTCAGGTTTCAAAACTCAACAGAATTCCAAATAAATCAAAACAATATAGATCTCAGCACAGATCAGTTAGGTCCTAGTCTTATACTGAATTTAAAAAAAAAAAGAAAGGAAAAAAAAAAACCAAAAACCCTAAACCAAACACATTAGTCAGGCTGCATGTGCAATTTTCTGACTCTTGATAGAAATCCACGGTAGTAAACCTGGTTTGGCTTTTTGTTTTGTTTCATTTTTACAAGAGAATCATACCTTTATCTACACTGTATTTACTGGGAGATCTGTTTCCATAAAGTAGAGGCAATAATTCTGGTTTGCCAGCTCTGAGAAAATATGCCCAAGCTGAATTTTGTTGTTTACTGTGGTTAGTGTGACCACTTCTGAGGAGGTCGCTCAGCATCCTTGTTCCCTACCACAGTCAAACAAAATTACTTAAGATTAAAATAATTTAGAATACTTTCCTGTGTGACATTTATCAATTATTTACTATGGTTTTTAATGTTAAATTACATCCTGGCAGATTGCTTTGTACTTCAAATCAAGTTCTCCTTTGTGCCAGAAATTATGGGGAGAGGAACAGATCAAAATAAAACTGGGTGAGATGCTATATTGAAATCTATCCCTATAAGTATGGCCAAGAGGTGAGAAACAGACAAATCTTCAAGCCTGGGAAACAAGAATGTCAAACATAACAAGAAAGTGAAAAATGGTTTTGAAAATGTGTTGCAGTAACTCGTGTGAGGAGAATAAAGTTAGAAGGGTCTTGTTTGCCTCGAAACACTTACCTGCAAAAGCAATTCATCTTCCCTTGAAAAAATATGGGAATCGGTTTCTGGGTAGAATTGCAATGGTAGCACCACAAGAGCAAGTGCCCTGATAAAAATGTTCTTTTAAAGTCCCAGGTGCAGGGATGGCCATCAGAGCAGATCTTACATCTCTCTTGCATACATTACCTTTTCTTTTAAAAGGACGCTAAATAATTGAATAACTCCATGCAGGCTCTTGTGACCAGCCCCAAACCCAAGAGAATAACAATTATTAGTTTGCAAAGCCAACCATGAAAAAAAAAAAAAAAAAAAAAAAAACTAATAATTATTTCTTACAAGTTTTCAATCAAATCTCCTTTAGCATTTCAGGGCAACAAGAGCAGTGAGAGCAATGGAACAAAAACTCAGTGGCGTGGAATTTTTTAGGCAGAGCTGTACTGAGATTAGGACAAGAATGATGACCACTACCAAGTGTCCATCAGGGATGGGTGAGGGTATAGAGTAAGCTGGGTCATCCTAGAGAGCAGCACAGATCTGCAGTGATTGCTGAAGAAAAACAGGATAAGGAAGAAGAGCCTGGGGCAGGGCACAAGTGCCAAACTATGTCACTTTTAGTGTATCTTTTAGAACCTGAGCCATCAAATCAAGCCAGGCTGGCTGGACAAGCATCCCTTTCAAAGAGGCATCATTCTGCACATGGCAAAAATCAATGTTTGGAGCCAAATAACGTTTAAAAAAAACAACAACTGAAGAGCAACATCAAAACACAAATGCCTCTAACCAGCCAGGTCTAGGGTTGCCCCTACAACCAGGGCCCATTATAACAGCTGTCCCTTGCAGGCACTGTTGCCCCACTGCAGCTACCTGGCTCCTCCTACCCTAACACACCAAGTCACTTGACCTTGAAAGTATGAGGCTATGCCTGGAAATGGGGTGAGAAGATACCCCACCTTGTAGCAGAAATCAAATCAAATATCTGCCTCAGATGTTCTGTTCACAGCTCACTTTGTTTGTACACCAGTGCCCCAAGCAAAATCTAATTGTTCCTTAAAAAGGAAATCCACATATAATCAGCCTGGACCCAAGCTTTCCCCACCGTACAACCCTGTTCCCATAGAGCAGTGCTGGAGCTTAGTAGAGGAACAACATTTTGCACCACAGCATCAATGCAGCCCATGCAGGCTGAACTGGAATGCACCACAGGGCACCCTCTCCCCACTC